TGATCGGGGTAATATGTAGCCTGTATCCTTCTTCATCTCATATAGTACGTGTACAGTAAATTTAATGACTATTGGTGGAGCCATTAAAACGCCAAGAGATAACAAACCAACACGCTTTCACATGTTATAAACATTAGCGGAGAATAGCGCATGAAAATGTATAATACACTATTCCTCTTATAGAATAAACAACAATTAAGTATGTGCCTATTGTATTGAGTATTTTAATAGGTCAAGTCGGGCTTTTCAAATATCACTACGATTAAGTACGTATTGTGCTGAGTATTTGAATAAGGCGAGCCAGACTCTTCGTATTATTATATTATTAGAATGTACTACCGCTATTAAGAGACGTCATTACTTCAACTATTAATTTGCCAACGTCGAACATAGCCCTCGCCCACAGATTTTCATGAGAAACGTATACCCGCTGGGTTCCTTCAACATGTTCAGGGTATCATACACTTCGTTTGCTTACACGAGATCGCCACTCGAGAATCATTCCACCACTTCCTCCTACTTCTACTAGATTGTCCACTCTTCCAGTTCTGTAGCTCATTAACCTCCAAACAATATTTAGTTTTAAGGATATTCTAATTTTAAATTTAATCACATAACGAACCTAAACACAGTCGTTCCAAATATAATTACAATCATCATCGTCATCAAATAAGCAGTTATCTGTCCACTGGTGAACATAGGCCTCCCACATAGACTACCATAAGGAACGGTCCTGAGCCACCTGTATTCACTAACAGAGAGTTAGTACAATGCATTTGAGATCTGACAATCTTAAATGAATTGCAGTCTGTGGGAGAACGCTCCATCTAGTGGGATCATCCTATACTACGTATGCCTGTGCGAAGCTACCACTTAAGAACTATTTTTCCCCTATACTTTAATGGTTTCGAGCTATGTGACTAGCCCTTGCTACTTCAACGCACTTGTTCTTCGGACTATGTCGGACACTTTAGTTCTTTTGCGGATATCCTCATTTCGGATTCTATAACGCAAAGAAGCTCCAATCAATAGCCCTTTCCATAACTCGCTGAGTAACTTGAAGCTTTTGCATACGGGCAACGGTGTAGAGCTATAATTATAATAGTAAAAATATACTCATGCTCTCTGAACTCATGAACTCTGCGTGTTCAATACAATAATGTTTTCAGGGTGTTGTTGCGGCTGCCACGTTTTTGTAGTGCATCCACAATGTTTGCAGCGGCATGGACAGATGACTTCTATGCCATCAGACGCAAACGGATCGCATCTCTTTTATACCGACTGCGTGGCAGCAGTAACAGCATTCTGAGGGCATTATGTAATAAATACGATAGCCCGATCCTCTCATTGTGGGTCAAAATTATTATAGGGGCCATAAGATGAATTTTGTATTTTTTTTTCTACTAATATAGTTTAAATCAATTGTTACTAACAAGAATGGATCTTTGTAATCTATAAATAAATAAATATTAAATAACAGTAATCACTAATGGGATAGTCAGAGGCATTTGTCTCCTTTTTTTCGGTCGTAAGCTACATGCATATTTCACCGAGCATTTCATATTAGAATCGAACGTGTCAGGGGGTCAATGTAATAATAAAATGCATTTGTAATATAATTATATTAACTCTGTAAACAGTCGAAAATAGATTTCAATCGTGTATCTTATAATAAAAATAACCGTGCGTATGCATTGAGCGGCCGTGTCGATGTGAGTATATCTGTTCGCCTACAATTCAGCTAAAATTACCTGAACTCGCTCCAAATATAAACGCCGCTTGCTTTGTCAACTGTGTTTGTTTTGTCGCCTTGTCGCTGTGTTCTTGAGAGCCGTTCGTCATGCTTGTTGAAGAGATCTGCGTCTTTGTACACTTATTATTTAATATAAGTGACAAGCTCACACAGAAAAGAATTGGCTGTTAATTTTCCAAAGTCGAATGATTGTTTACTTTTTTGTTCTTTTTGGAACAATATTGGTACTAGTTAGGCAGGGAACACATTATTTACAATGTCTATGGAGATAATACAATTTTATCTTCTTCTTTGAGATGTTTTTTTTTTAATTATCCATTACATACTGGTATGGTAACCCCGCCTGCGCTATCAGTATACGCTGGCGGGGCACCAGTGAGGGATGATAGGTGAGGTATAAAGCAGAACAGTTATCCCATTGTTTTCGCCCAGGTTTTCAAGGCAACCGCTTGGAGATCGATCTGATAGGGTGTATTGCTGGGAATAGGTCGGTTAGACCTCATTACTAATAATCCCTTTCCCCCATTTATCTAAGGTTAATTTATTATTATTGGATGATTCTTAGGGAACACAAATTATGTCAACAATGCCATCAACAGTTAATGCATTATCATTATAACATTTTAAATATACTGACATACGTAAATACCGCATGTCACAATACGTACTCAGTCAAAAAATGAAGTTATCTGAGATTAAAATATCTCCGAGTGTCCTAATGTTACACAACTACTTTGCAAAGGAAATAGTCCAAGTAGTTTATCAAATTTACTGAGCGCATTGTAAAAGGGACCGTCTTACCTTTTTAAACGAAAAACGTACTAATCGAGACATTTCTGAATTCAATTTTTTTTTTTTTTCAATAGAATGGAACAGTAACCAACGTCTCACCTTTTTTTAAGCAACTTAGAATGGCAAATCATCTGAAGGTCCACCTAATGGAAAGTGGTAACCGTCGCCTATAGACGTGAACGGTACCATGGACATAACAGAGGCTACTGATATAATTAATACGTTGCAGTTCTTAAGGACTAATGTGTTATGATTTTATATATACCTTGTAATTTCACTGCCGTATCCTACCCTTTAAACCGAAGTACAGCCACAAACACGAATGGGACAGAGGTGCCCAAATAGATCACGTAATAGAAACTACTAAGAACCGTTGCCATAGGAGTATTTATAGGGGAACCACAGGGACTGTGCCCACTGTATAATTGTCCGATGCACAGCCCATGATCCAAGCAAGATTTCAAAGAGTCTGAAACTAAAGTGCCTTTTCAGGGGCCAGGGTTCACTGGAAAATAATCATAAATACACCAATAACATAAACTGTACCATGGACATTACATACTATACATTGAAGCTACTGACATCACTCTGCGTTATCAGTTCTGAAGCCTAAGATTTTTTTTTGGTGGATGATGATGGTGTGATAACCCCGCCTGCGCTATCGGTAAACGCTGCCGGAGCACCAGTGAAGCGTGATAAGTGACGATGCAAACAAATCAGTTAGCCCATCTTGGTGAATTCATTAAGAAGTAACCGCGTTAAAGAACCAAGGTGGCCTACATAGTCCGAAGACCAAGCAAACTGAAGTAGCAATGGGCTCGTCACATAGCTCGAGGAACTGACAATCGATAGGGAAGAGAGGTTCCTTATGGTAGACTATGAGGTAGACCTGTGTGCAGCAATAGACAGATAACGGCTGATATAATCATGACGATGATAACCGCGTGGAGGTCGACCTGATAGAGTATATTGCTAGCAACGGAATCGTGAACTTCATTATTAACAATACCTTCTACCCCCAGTTAACACTTTGCTGACCGCTGACGAGTTAACTCGTCTTTTCATATCCAAACGTTGTGGACCGGTTGGTCATTGCACTGGCGTATAGGTATGTTCTCCTACCACGACCGAAAATACCGTTTGGATTACAAAGCGTTCATGACCAAAAAATTACTTTTCTCTGTATTTAAGTTTTAATCACAATTTTAGTTCAATTCCAAAGATTTCAACCATGATGTAATTCCTGGTCAGCAAAGAGTCAAGATAGTAAGCCACCATAAATGTTGTAGGCGACAAAGGAAACCAGCAATTGGAAATATATGTATGTTGTCGAAAGGAACTTAGAAGACTAGGGCAGTGAAGGGAAGCCAAAAGGGAACAATAGAGATGCGTGTCATTTTCGAATTTGGTAAATAATAATATAAAAACTATAAATAATATATGTGGCTTGTACTCCACACATGTTATTTTACTGTCGTAGTGCTGCTTCGAGTTTTGCACAAAATGTCCCATTGGTGAAAATGTTCAAATATGACAATATTTCATGTGCGCTAACGTTAAAGAAAATTAGTTTCACTTCACACAGTTATTAAACTTTCTCGCCAGAATCCTCGCTTTCGAATGTCACGCCAGAAAATCGTGTTTAGAAATCGGATTCGGCATACTTTTTCAGACGATGTGGTTGTAGTTTCGCACGTTACTTACCTGTATTTAATGAAAATTAATTTAATTGGAATAATATAAATTCAAATAGACTTTGTTTTAATCATTTATGAACAGTATTGTTTTAGGATTCCACCGCCCAATTCGGAATGCAATTTCAATTTAGAACACGGGCAAGAAACTCGACTGTTGTTTTTGCAAACAAAAATTAAATTTTGAATTGAAAAATATATATATATAAATACAATGACTATTTACTTTCAAGCTTGTCTTTCTTTTATTTATTAAAATATATTTGTTTTATTAAAAAAAAAAAAGTAATAAAGCCCACGACTGACCGCCTGACAAGCGTAGTAGCTGTTGGTTATATGGAGGACGAAAACTATTTTTTTTATACCACTGAGGTGGCAAACAAGCATACGACCCACCTAATGATAAGCGATTACCGTAGGCTAGAAATGCCAGCAATACCAGGGGGATAACGCGCGCGTTGCCGACCCCAAAGAAACCTCTTTACCCCATTTTTGAAGAAGCCCTCACTGTAGTCTGTTAGAAAAACCTCAATTACCATACTTGTTTTCCTTCTGAGTAAAGTCTCTTTCCCAACAGTATAATTTATTATGGTGCTAATATTATTTGTTACTATAGGATTATGGATACTATTTTTATTTTATTTTTCTAGTATAGTAGTATATCCCGCCTAGTTTGGAGCTAGATGAATCTGATGTGATACGTTCAATAGTATTTAGTTATTATTAACATGTATTAAAAATAACTTTATAATTAATTCCAGAATTATTTGGACACCAACACTCTTGATATGAGGAAGAGCGAGCACAGACACTTGGTGCTGCAGATTGCCCTTAAATGTGCTGATATATCGAACCCATGCCGACCCTGGGAGATCAGCAGGAAGTGGAGTCTGAAAGTCTGCGAGGAGTTCTTCAGACAGGGAGACTACGAGAGGAAATTGAACTTGCCAGTGACAGCATTGTGCGACAGACACACTACATCAATACCGAAAATACAAACAGGTATACACTGATAGTTATTTTATCATTGAAAGACTTTGTACAAATTGCATCTGCTTGGATAGATCGGAGAGGGTCCCTCTTGTTTTTATCATGAAGCAGCCAGTTAAATTTAGCTTTGAATTATATGGCTTTGAAAATTGTAGGGTTCAGAGACATAACACCTCAATCTTCTGAAATGGTAACGAATGAGGTGGATCATGTATGTTATAGTGTACCTAGTTTTCGAATTTACTTTAGTAATATTTGTACATTTTTCAGGGTTTTTCAAATTCGTCGTTACACCTCTCATCACTGAATGGCATCGCTTCCTACAAAATGATTTGTCAAACCAAATGTTGAAAAATTTGCTATACAATCAGAACAAATGGGAGACATTGGTGGCTCAAGAAATAGCTGAAGAAACCGGAACTGAGATTTCCGATGCTGATATGGTTGATGACGACCTTGAGACTTGTTCAGGAACCAATATCTCTGATAGTTCGGAGTTGCTATTGCCACTTCGAAGGAGTTCATTGAACCCCTCCAAACAAGTTGGCCTTAAAGAACAGTTAAGGCGTTTCTCTGTTCCACTTAATGTGTTCCAAGATACCAAATTTAGAAATAAAGATAAGAGCCGAGCATCGTCTGTAGCGGAGCCAAAGAATAAGAGCAACACCAGCCCGCTTGGTAGTGAGCACTCGATTCACTCACAGCTTAGTGTTCATGGACACTGTGATCATAACGATGGCATCTCCGAGAAAGTTCTCAGTACTGAGAAACTTCTTCCCGACTCATCTATAGCCTCCATCACCACGCCGGTGCAAGCGACTCGTCTCAACACTGTCTTAAAGGACGGTGGCTCGTGGAAACTAATACGCCAACAGACTTTCCCGCCACTTGAAACAACAGCCCACGCGTACGCACTCGCCGTACGTCCCCTCTACATGAGTAACGAAGAGTCTTTATACTCGTCTCGCCACACCAAGATCGAGATTGGAGTTAAATTTGAAACAAGCATAAAAGAGGGCACACTTATTAATTTATTCAAGAGGAATGATATCGATAAGACTGATCACGATGACGCTTCTGAAAATAATAACGTAGATATAACTGAGTGTTCCCGTAATTTAGAGAAAGAAAATCAAGACCCGTTGAATTGGGATAGTTCGGACGGTGGGCACCGCGAACTCGCTTCAATTGGGAGCCAGTTGAGGGACAACTTGACGGCCATCAATCTCGGCGCTCTCGCCTCAGACCAGCTGCTACGCCGAAGGAAGTCTATGCCTGCTGATACCGTCGCATATAGTAAGTTGATTGTTGTTCTTAACTAAACTATCTCAGTACCGATAACTTCTTTCGAGCTTACATTATTTTTGTAATATATTATTGGTTAAATCAGAAACCAGAGGAAGACTTTGTACAAAAGTCGATTGCTTGGATACCTCTGTACCATTCATGTTTCTACCGCGAAGCAGTTGTGTTTGCATGCCTGTGTTTCGGTTTGAAGCATGGGATATGGCGTGAACTTACTGAGTACAGAGGAATAACACCTGATTCCTCAGGAATGACAACGCATGGGGGTTATCATGGGCGAAACAGTATACTCTGTTATGTCCATGGTACTGCTCATGTCTATAGGCGACGTTTACCACTTTCCATCAGGTGGACCGTCAGCTTGTTTTCCATTCTAAGTTGTATAAAAAAAAGCCAATTGTGTAAGTTAATTTCTTTGTCTACAAATTACACTTTTTACTTCCAATTCATGTGCCAGATGATGAAAACCTTAAGAATTCTTTCTGAATATAATATTCGTTAAACAAATTAAAAAAACAAACATTTCTCTGAGTCTCTCATCTTGCGCCATACGGTGTCGAAAACGTATCTGTCTAAAGATGACTTTACCATTTGTCTGGGTAACAGGAGGGGCAATGCATGAAGAATATAATAAACTCCACAAGATTCGTGTATTATTCTTGATATTATGGCTATACTTAACGTACCACTTCCCATGAAGTCTTAACAAACTCAATGAAATCTTCAGAAATAGAATAGTAGCTATCCTCGTCTGAGATCACATACATAATACATATACACACACAAACACATAGTAACTTTCTATATTTACTTTTAGTACCAAAAGAGAAGAGAATGCGTGAAGTGACTGCCACCATACCACAGTTCCTCCGCCGGACCCTCTCCGGAAAGGAGTGCTGGACGCGCCGCAGAGGTTCCGCCCCTGCACACGTGGAGCCATCCGAGTTGCGAGGTCTGGCCTCGATGGGGGCTACGAGGCAAAGCGTCAACGGCGCCCGACGGAAAACAAACCCCATCGCGGCCTGCCAGCAGTGGTTAACGAAAACCAACTTCAACGCACAAGAGAAAACCATCCAGCAGATACCGCGCAGAAGTTCATTGCCTGTTGAGGTGCTTACAGGTGGAATATCGCTGTCAATGGCTTTATTACTTGATGCACACTTACAATTTTATTTGCAACGCTTAATATGTAGAATATTTTTTAAATTATTGTATGTATATTGTCAGTGTTGCCAACTTTCGAGGCTGGATAGTGCTCTTTTTCTATTTATTCAGTCTTGTACAAGAATTTATTCCTTGTACAAAATTTTACGGGTTAATCCGTAACCCAAAATTAAAGTTTGCCAAGAAATAGAATACAAGATATTAAAAAATTAAACATTATATTTGTCCTCTGATATAGTACCCAAGGTAACGGTAAAAGGTAACTACAGATTATTTATTAAGACAAAATTATATTATAAACTTATAAACATTGTTATAAAATTACTGACCGTTTTAATTTATTCTCTTTTATATTTTTAAGTTATACACATAATCTAATAAAACAATAAATATTAGTTTAAAAATTTTACTATTACTGGTCTGAAAACTTGACATTGAGTTGGCAACACTGTTTCAATATTCGTCACATATATATCGATGTATCGTATTTAAATATTTACATATATACAGCGTTATATATATATAGCGTTTAATATGCCATGTGGTCCCGGATTAGAATGGACCATCCCTCCCTTTCCCGTGGGTGTCGTAAAAGGCGATTAAGGGAACTTAATGCTCGAGAAATGGACAGCAGCGTCCATCTTCAAATATCACTAAAGCCTAAACGCAAAAGCCAACCCGCCTACCAAGTGGAGTAACTACTGATCCCAACCCCCCCCCCGCCCCCTTATGGGGGAACTTATTATTTTAGCAGTGAACATATTAACGGCTGGTAGAGCAATAAATAAGGTTTAAAATATATATATATATATATATATATATATATATATATATATATATATATATATATATATATATATATATATATATATATATATATATATATAAGATTTAACTGTATTATTTATTGCTAATATGAAGCCTAGAGGGGAAGGGATTATTAGTAATGGGGAAGTTAGTCCCCTTTACTATCAATATACCTTACTAGGTCGACCACGCGGTTCCGCCTTGAAACCATCGTGACTAATTTGTCGTTGAATTCGTCATTATGGGCTAACTGAACTGCCTTGTCATCTTCACCAGTCATCCCTCACTGGTGCCACGCCAGTATATACCGATAGCACAGAGCTTAACATTTCGTTCGTCATAAATCCTACCATAATAGTCCGAAGGAACGATATTTTAACATTTTTAACATTATTAAACGGTTTATGTTATGTAAATTTAATATCAAATTTGTATTTCGTTAGGCTCCGAAATATCGGATACCTACCAAATATTTCATGATAGGCTCTGATCTCCTAAACATTATTAAAATCATATAATTTGTATGTTTTTTTAAATGGTAACCCCACCTATCGGTAAACACCGATAGGGCCAGACCAGTGAGGAATGATAGGTTTTTTTATTTATTGATGATATAGGAACGGTTACCCCACCTACGCTAACGGTATACATTGGCGGGGCACCAGTAAGGGGTGATAGGTGAGAATGAAAAGGCAGGTCAGTTAGCCCATCATGACGAATACACCAGGAATTCAGCACGATTATTTTCAGGGGGATCGACCTTATGGGGCATTTTGCTAGCAATGGGACTGATAGTCCATATTACTAATAATCCCTTCTCTCCAGGAATGATAGGTTGGGATGAAGTAGATCAGTTGGTCCTACGTGTCGAATTTAACAATTACCACGATAGTTTCCAGGGGGAACCGCGTTGAGGTCGATCTAACAGGTTATATTGCTGGTCACCAAAGGGAGACTTTGTACAAAAGTTGATTGCTTGAGTACCTCTGTCCCATTCGTGTTTCTACCGTGAAGCAGTTGTGTTTGCATGGCTGTGTTTCGGTTTGAAAGGTGGGATATGGCGTAAATTTACAGGGTGGCAGGCCTCAGGAATGGCAACGCATGGGGGGGTATCATGGGCGAAACAGTTTACTCTGTTATGTCCATGGTACTGCTCATGTCTATAGGCAACCATTACCACTTTCCATTAGGTGTGCCGTCAGCTTATTTGCCATTCTAAGTTGTATAAAAAAACTTCCCCCCCCCCCCCCTCCATTGTTGTTGAAATTCTTATTCAGGATTGTCCATTAATATTCAAAAACATTATTTTCAGGTATTTCCTCCCGTTGATGGAATGAAAACGTCAGAATCTAAGTAAATGTCGGTGATAGAAGCTGCTTAGGAAAGGAAATTAGAATAAAAGGGAACAAGAATGAAGGATACAAGGATAGGAGTACATCTGTCATTACCATCCAGACAGGTAATTGGTAATTAACGAAAATGACTATCAAGAGATGATTATAAGCATGTAGAATTCTAATTGTTTGGTGGGAAGTGGTCTCACCTCGGACGGGACGGAAACTCAAGTTTGACTTTTCAACAATTTACATATGGCGGCGTCCAATGGATCGCTTCATTTGTATCTTGTGGTCTCTTAATGTCACAAAATTCAATGATGTTTAGATGAAATTACTGTATTTATTATATGTGTATTGATAGGGTCAATGAACCCGTCGTCTTGGGTATTTCCTTTTTTCCCCAGTGTTGTGAGCATGGTACGTGAAATTGGATTTTTTTATTAGTGATATTGATTGTTGTAAGTCATTGGAAAATGTGAATGTAACTCAGTGCCAGTGTTTCGGGCGCCATATTGTTGGTTTAATTTTTTATTGGCGTTCTTACGGCCCTGGCTACTAGCCGTTCTGGGCGTTCGTTTCTCTTACCTGCCAGTATCTGGATTTAATTGTACTTTCGATATTTTTATCCGATACGTTACGTCTATTGTACAGTTGTTGTCGTATTAAGTGTACATGTAACAGGGATGTTTATCTACATTTTGCTTGTACCTATACCGTTAACGGTTATGCTTAATTAGGTGACAGACTGTACATTTATTTATGATCGTTAATTGAACATTTGGCATAGACAAATTCAAATGACAACGCAATCTATTCAACATCGTAGTACAAATTATGTTTTACACTTTATAAGGAATTTTAATGTTTATGTTACAATAAATTTAATTAATGGTTAGTAATTTGCCATATCGTCTTCTAAGTTTATACGGCTATCAATGTCATGGGGGTTTACTTTGAAAAGCTGCCACTAGATGGCGTGTAAACACAACACGCAGCTAGGTGTCAAAATTGTGTCATTTACGCTTAAATCTGTTTTACAATTGTTATTATTTATCCTCGAATTATCATCACAATCTCATCAATCTATTAGTCATCTAATGATAGCGCTGTTTAATTGATCCATTGATGTTTATAATTACTAGTTGAACATATTGATTGATCGATATCGTAAGAGCTAGTGGTGCCACCTGGTGACCTACAACGTAAGCCCCCATTCTTTGTATTTTAATGTATGTATGTGTTGTTCTTGTATTATACCAAATGTGTGTGTCTGGGTGCTTATTGCACAGCAGATCCATCGGCTGGAAACATGTTCACAATAAAGGTTTAGAGTCTCATATATCAGTAACTCTAGTGGTTTTCTTTTTTTTTTTTAATAGTCATAGTAATAAGTACTTATTCAATATAGATGATAATTAAGTAGGCGCTCTTTTTGAGCGAGCGGTGTATCGCGGTACATTTATTAAGTTTTTGTTGTAAATTAAGACAGATTCAGTATTAAATGTGTGTACTGCAACAATTCCCATATGAAAACGCAGCGCTTCAACGGTTGATGGACATTTATAAATGTCGTAACACGGTACGGTATCGTACCATTTTACCGTCACGATATCATAGGAGAGCACAGAAATCGTGGATTTTTACAAACGTTTGAAATTAAACTACATCTTCTACTAGATCACACGGTGAAATTCGCATCACCTACATCCATCTCGCCATTTATTAAAACTAATCCGAAATAGCTACTCCCATACAAAATTACCTATTTTTATTTTTATTTCCTAATTTGTATTTCCAACTTTTTTTCCTTTACACCAGCCAGGTGTAAAAGAAAAAACGTTGTAAAGAGTGAAACAAAAAAGAAATATTCAAGTCGAGCAGTTTATTTTATTTTAGCGAGACGTAACAAACAGCAATTGATTTTTAGATTATTTTGCCGTGACGATAAAATCGTGTCGTGATACGATAAGTTATAAAAGTGCCCATTGGCTATAGCTGTGTCTTTAGACGCCTTTGATATTGACTATCACCAATGAGCGTCAATTTGGATCGAATTATCTACTACAAAAAAATGTTCTGAATGAGGGTACTTATCCTTACGTCATCAGTGTTGCCAGTCGAATTAATTGATTTACATTTATAATGTTTATTAATTTATTTATTACTAAGTTAGTGTTTAATTTTATTATTTATTTAGTAAGGCTACTTTATAGATACAACAATATAGATTGCAATGAACGAAATGTGATAAAATATTGTATGACATCTGTCAACGTCATCCATCCGGTACATTTTAGTCTTAGAAGGAGAAAACAGGTTGATCATTAATTTTAGTGATTCATTAGACCGTAGGCCTATGTACAATACCTGTCTTAGGGGCTAGAACTTAATCTATAACACTGATACAATTGAATGCATATAACATCACAAATATTTATATAGATTTTGATATATATTTTTCATAATAATCTGAACTTACAAATTTATTTATTTTATTACAATTATTAGATAAATGGATAATATATTTTAAGCATATTCCTTCCTAAAACACAAGCAACACCTGCACTTTTTGATGCTATGGGTGCCTATAATTGGCGGTAATGACTTAGCATCAGGTAAGCCGTATCACTCGTTTGCCATCTGTGTTGTAAAAATTATGATTTTTATTTCTAACTAGTTTTTGCCCGCTACTTTGTACGCGTATATTTCACAAGTACTAAACCTATTGAATATACTACTTCTGTATGATGTATCGCAATAAAACATGCACTAGATTTGAAGTTAGACCTTCAGGTATACAAACGCAATCAGTTTGGTGCAGTAGTTTTTTCGTAACGTACAAACAGACAAAATTCCTAAAAAAATAGTTTTGTTTCTATTAATCTTATTAAGTACCCTCACGTTAGTTTTTTTCTTAAATATGTCCCATATACAGACATGGTGTAGTTAATTTTATTTTTATTTTATTTTATAAGATTTGACAGATACTTCAGATGTTGCCAGTATTATGGCGAAAGTGCTAAAATAATTAATTCTTTCTCGATGCGTGTTGACCTCATTGGTGGACCTTGCGTGGTTTCCAACTGTGGACTCTTGTCACAAAACTGTAACTGTTTTGTATGAGTAATGGTTAGACAGGTTTGGAATGTTGAGGTTAATTCCATTCCAGCCATGCCGGCATTTGATATCACCGACCGATAAATGCAACCAGCGGGGTGAATTTACGCATTCGAATTGGAGTTAAATCGAAACTCGCTGATTGACACTTATATGTCGAGTGTAATCGATTACATCCGTTTAACGTCATATATACGAGAATATTAGTTAGATTCAGTGTAATTACGATTTCATGACCCCAATTCGATTACATCTATTCATTAAACATAAAAGTGTAAACCATCACATCCGATAAACGTCAAATATACGAAGATCATTTCGATTCGATGCAATTTAGTTTTGACCCCAATTCGATTACGTACGATTCGCCCCGCATATTTACCTACGTATACTTCTGTCGATTATTGTCACGACGTAGTGGTCCCGAAACTGAGTTGACTAGTGTAACTCGATAAAACATCACATCTGTACGGTTGCATTTATTTATAATATATAAATGTGTATGTATATGGAATGAATTTAATGTTGAAACAATGTTATGAATATTCAATTTTATTGGTGGTATTGAGAATTCTAAATATTATTGTGTATTGTTCAGTAGAATATTAATTATATTATAACCAGACTCGCTGTCTTGTTTGGAATGGAGGACGGGAGAATTAATGTAATTGTTAGGGTATTCTACGTGTTCTGTGGGGAAATGGTGTTGAGTATTTTTTTTTTTTTTTCTTATTTTGTTGAATCTCAATGTGTGAAATAAAAATTCTTGCGCTTACAACCCGTCGAGATATCTACAAAGTATGAAAAATACGATATGGCATGACACGTCGTAGCCCGGTTGTGTTCTGTTCTGATTTACACGGTGAAAAATCGTGATTTCAAATCTGACGGTACCAGATGTTTGTGCCAATTAAATTTTTGACTAACTCCTCTGTGATGGAGAATATCTACAACGAACCAAGTAATCCGAGTGAAGACGGCACGCTCGCCTACGTCGCGTCGCGTTTAATTCATAATGTGTACATACCAAGTGCTACGTTCACCACACCGGCAAATCGACACCTGTCTGACTGACCCCATTGCGGGTTATAGTCGTGTGCATATTTGTTTAATACTCAACACCGTTTTCCCATATTAGTACGGTGTTCATTATAAGCCATATATATGTACGGTCTTCTTTGATGTATGCAAAATGTGTTTCTAAATGTCAAATTGTTAACTTATTTGTGTAGAATGTGTGGCGGACGACCCGAATATTGTTCGTTTCGTTAACAATGTACAATACAAGGAAGTTTAGTAACATTAATTCCATATGTTGTAATAGAATTATTATTATAAGTGTTTATTTTTGTCTAGCATTAATACATCATGTCTACATATAATCGTTCAATAAAATCTGTTCTCGTGAGGGTGTCGCCCTCTGGTGTCAGATAGTAATAAGCTTAATACTTACACAGGATGAAATAGGGATCGTTGGCATCCTTTTAACACAGTTTTCTACCGATAAATGTGAACTGTTTTTATCTAAACATCTCGAAAAATTTTGTCCTCCCATTCGGGCTTAAATTACTTTGCCGTTTTCCGAGTTGCGTTTCTTGAGGAAAATTGTTCAGGAACACATCCTTTAGTCTATCTATCCTATTTAAGAGCTGCGCTCTTGTCGGTGGAGCTCTTGCCACTCATTACGATTTTCAGCGAGTCTCTTCACCTCTTGATACGACACGACACCAACTCCTTCCTTGATCTGCCTGATGTAACTATGTCTCGGTCTCCCTGTTCCCCTTCTTCCTTCTATCTTACCTTCTATTATAATGTTCATAAGTTGGTCATGTCGTATCAAGTGTCCCAAAATTTTCGCCTTCTGTCCTCAATAGTTCTTATAATTTGTCTTTTTTCCTTAACCTTAAGCAGGACCTCCTCATTGCTAATTCGATCCCTCCAACTATCCTTTACTAAGTATGGGTAATATCGTTACCACACCGATTTGCTCCCTCTGGGCGTTGATGGCAGTACTGGGTCATCACCCATTTCAATATCGCCCATACAGGTTGCATACGTATATTCATTTTAATGGATATCGTATATTAAATAATTACCGTGTAAATTTATAGATATTGCAATTACGATATATAGATATTGCTATATATAACCCATCCCTATTCTTAATTATTTAGATTCCATCCTGTGTAAGTTTGAAATACGATTCGAATAGAATTTTAAACTAGAAGAAAATCTTCATACCAACTCCTACAAACGTGCAATCGATATTATATGTTACACAACACATACTATAGATATGTTGATAATAATAAGAAAAAATGTTAACTTTTTAAAGTGGAAATTATATATTTCTTGATTCTTGTCGGCCAAATGACGTTATACAGAGTCCACAAATTATGTGTACTACCATACATTTTATAGTATATTATTATATATTATTATGTAGTTACTGTGTAGATATTATAGCGCAAATTTTTTTATATTATATTTATATATGTATTGTATATAGTCAAAAATACTTTTAACCGGCTATTACCGGTAATAACCGGACAAAAGTATTTTCGATAATAAACCTAACTTTATGAGTGTGCTTTTTGATGTAATAGAAGTTTTTGAGTGTGACTAAATGTATAACTGTCTCATAGGTAACCGTTGTTATTGAGGGGTCAAGGGGGTGGGAGGGGGGGATTGACACTTCCCTGTTACTACTATTCTTCTTTGTATTGTGACAAATAATATCACAAAATGTTTTATCGCTTTACGTAATATATTTAGGATAAGTTTGTTAGATTGTAATTTTAAGTTGAAATAATCTGTCGTCCGGCTGGTGCGCATGCGCGGATGTATTCATTTGCCCCATACACATTTTCGTTTACGCACGCACGTAACAGAGGGCGCCAGACGTTGCTGTCTCGTTACACCACATGCACGTTACAGCGACATCTATCTGTGGGTTCGTTTGCGATTTAATATTTTCGTCCAGTGTTACGTCTGGACTCATTGGCACATGGCTGTGTAACTCTAATTTATCCTGTAAATTATAACAGTATATTTTACTACCGTTAGTAAAATACATTCTTTGATGTAATTATAAAATTCTCTTAAGTACTTTTTCTTTTAATCGAACCACGTCACCGCCTGTTAAGATATGGAATGACAATTTACAGGGCCGTCACAGGTCATGCGAGGGCTTTCGTGCACACAAAATTTTTGCCCCTTTCAGAAACTTAAAAAAAGCGAATGCAAATATCTGTAATGTATTTTAGAACATCTTACATTTAAATTCGACATATTTTAGTTAAATTCCATAAAATCAACTCTCCTCTTTTTCAACCAACTAAAAAGAAGAAAACTCTCAATTTGATTGTATATTTTTATTCGTTACCCCATAACTCCGTTAGTTTTAAACCGATTTGTTAAATATATTTTTTTATCTGAAAGGATATGCTTACAGATTGATCCCGTAGAAGTTTTATCAAAATCAATTTAATAGTTTAAGTTTTTAAATCAAAATAACTGGTTTTGCCATAGTTGATGTCAATGTTTTTTTTTAAAACGCTATCTTAAATTTTTCCGCGTAAACGACTTATAAACTGACGGTCCTGAATACATAAGTGTTATTCTATATCCATTTAACTGGACGAAAATGTATAAATACTTCGAAGATAAACCCTATTATCCGCTTACAAATAAATATACATGTCTCAAATATAAGTTTATTAGATATTTAAACAAGTCATATCCGCCCATCCGCGCGCCGGCTGTAAACGGGAAACCTTTTCTGACCCTTCGAAGTCCACAATATTCTTAAGTGTAATTTAATTTAGTGAATAAAAAATGAAAACCATGCTCAATAAATATGTCAGTTAGTATTATTCATTGGAAAGTTTCTGCGCGTGAATTGGTTGCCACCGTTGCATTTTGTATCATGAATGATTGAATGACTTTCGTAATGGGACACCGCATAGGGGAGTTATGTCGTCGTATGTCTAAGATCACGTCTGAGCCATTCTATTTTTGTCTATGATGAAGGGAATCATGATATTCAAATTACATTGGCATCTTGTGAGTTTTATATTTACTAGTTTTTACCCGTGACTTCGTTGGCATGACCGATACATTATTATGTTCATTGACTGAGATAAAAAAAAAAATAGAAAAAAATATATTCTGTTATAACTTCCCACTAGGTGACGTTACTTAAGTTTCATGATATAAAATGTCAAAGATTATATAATTGGAAATATTTGAACTTTAAAGTATTGTTCACTAAGTAAATATACATTTGTAAATGGCAGTCATTTGTAACAATATTTTTTGGTAAATTTTAATAAATATGTGAAATACATGTACCTAAGTAGCTACAGAACTATATGAATTTCATTGTACGCAAAGTCTGTCAATGCACGTCGAGTGCTAAACGCTTATTAAAATAATTAAAATTACATAGGTACAAGTACCGTTTACTTGGAAAATTTTATAATACTACTCTATGCATAATGTCTTATGATAAACATCTACAGTCCTACAATGTAAAAAAAAAATATATTTTATAATATATGTTTTATATAAGTGTAATGTTCCATGCAGATATTACAATTAGGTTCTAATGAAATACAGGGCCTGATCTAGGGGCGCCAGCCGGGCAAAATCTCTGACCGCCAAAAAGAGCTTACTGCGAGTTAATATGCTAATCAATTAAGCAACTATAAATGTTCATATTTGCCCTGAAACAGCAAAATAACTAGATTGGGCCCTCATGAAATGCATAATAACTGAAATAATTGTAATAGGTAGATATAGCTCTGGAATGTGAACGCGACGCGGCGTTTACAAAAGGAAGCGTTTCATGCAGTCGAATGTGGTTATCTACTTGTTTGTAAAGTATCTATTCCTGCTTTGAAATGAAATATACTACCTTTCATAAAATTTTTGAGCCTAGTTTAAACTGATTTAGGAATTTAGCTGAAACGACAAAACAATATTTGGGTAAGTCGAGCATTTTATACCGAGTTGCTCGCCACTTGACTAAATTGTTAAAGCAGTTTGAATTAAGCTTTTAAAATTGAAACAGAGATCGAGTATTTGTATAAATGCAGTGTATAGGTACTTCTTTAATTCGTGTTCTTAGGTCAATATAATGTGCAGGAGACATTGCTTTCAATGTGTATAATTAGAAAGGCATTCTTTTCTGAGTTGCAACTACTATTTAATTATTGATAATTATCGTGGTCGTCGATAGAGCACGTATTTCACATATTCAAACTAAATAGATTTAAAGTTCATTTGATGATATTAGAAAATTTCCTCGTCAATATATTTACACAAGGGGTCAGCAAAATAAATTCTTATCTACATATTTGAAATTTGTACCACTAATTAACCTTGGGAGCAAAGTTATTACGTACCTTTGTGATAAACTTTTCGACTTGTTATTGATTTTTCATCTCACCAATCTATCTGATATTCTACCGTTATTGTTATCTATTTCGATAATAACTGTTTATTTTATATATTTTAATTTATTAATTACGTTTTAACTATCATACAATTTTGGTGGTTCAAATTTCAATTATATCTCTTTCTAAAATTCGTACACGAGAAATGTAAAAAAAAATTCGGTGCTTGCGATTTCTATTCTTAAATCTCTTGCTTCGTCCACTTTCATTTTTTGGTATCCTAGCTCAAGAACCAAGGCATTAATTAGTATGATTGTGCAGCATTTATTAATACTTTATTGACCCAAGTTTTATACACACGATCAAAAATAGAATAGACCACGATATTATTAATAGTTTAATATTAGTTTTAAAATAGCTCCACAAATACTCTGTGGTTACTGCACGACATAGAGACACTAAAAAATATTACAAATAATAACACAAAATCTACGTATTGTGTGATCATTATACGAAAGTTGCTGATGTATTGTTGCCACATCTAGCAAACTCCAGTATTCATACGTATTCATACTTACCTAGTCTCAGTGCTTTCAAAGTACATACACAAGTTAGATTTTACTTTTTTGTTATTTATTTTATTAGAAAAAAAAAGTAGATATAAATTATTTCAAACGAATACGCTGAACGCACATCACAATGGATATCACAAAAAATGTCAAACATTTTTTTTTTTTTTTTATTATTTTTAAGTTCATTTTAAAGCTCCGAGAGGCAATCTAACATAATTGATATTTTGTTAACATTTTTAAGTACAACTCGCAACTATCAAACAATGAATAAATATGATCAATACTGTCTAATTTAAACAGTAGTGAAACTACAAGAGTCACTGTAATTTCATTCTTTGAAGACAATTCCTATTATTTATAACTTGTAAAGATATCTTTCTTGCGGTCATGTTGATAAATATTATACTTAGCAGAAATGTATTTAATGATATATTTACAAATTGTTTTAATTATATGCATATGCAGGCTCGACATAAACCGGGGATCATGAAAATTTCCCTGACGTCAATAATTTAATAATTAATAGGGCAAACCTAACGAATTATTCCCTCCCTGGCGTAGTAATACGGCCCTGTATATTATGTGAATTGTTTATTTGTAAATTTCAGTTACATATTTTTATTATGTTGCAATTTTTATTTTAATAATAAATTAATAATATTATTGTATCCATGATTAATTTTAAATAAACAGATATTAGCAATTGACAGATGGGCAATAAGTATATTATGTGAATTCTTTTAGTTGTGAATTTTAGTTAAATAATTTTACTGTATTTTATTTTTATTAAATGTTTGCAATTTTATTTAAATAATAATAAACTACCCATAAATATTTTTAAATAATCAGATATTAGCCATCAGTACATGGCCTGTATATTAGGTGAATTCTTTGTGAATTTTAATTGCATAATTTTACTATATTTTATTTCCTTTAAATATTGGGATTTTTATTTCATTTTTTATTTTAATAATAAACTACCCATAAATATTACTAAATAAACACATATTAACAAACAATATACGGCCCTGTATATTATGTGAAAATTTTATTTGTGAATTTTAATTACATAATTTTATTAATTTTTTTAATGTGATTTTTATTTCAATTTTTGTTTTAATAATAAAGTATATTTTTGAATAAACAGATATTAGCAAACAATATATAGCCCTGTATATAATGTGAATTCTTTATTTGTGAATTTTAATTACATAATTTTACTTTATTTTTTAAGTATTGTGATTTTTATTTCAATAATAAACTACCCATAAATATTAGCAATCAATATGGCTGCAAGAACATTAAGAAAAAAATATAAATAACATTGTCGGTTTCATGAAGTGCAATACGATGTCGTACTTAAAATTTCTTTTAAAATAAATGTTTTTTTTATTGTTTTTTTTTTTATTTTTTTTATTTTTTTCAACTAATCAGAAATTGCTCCATCGGGATAAAATATAGTCTCTTCACCATTGCCTTTCTCTTTCAAAACTTGTTGACAAAATCAATTTAACATCTATATTCTATAGGAATTTGTAACCGATATCTATTTCAAAATTAATACTCATATACCTGCGTATAATAAATTACATGCTCCATCTTATGAACACATTTAAGTCACTTTGCAGTTCGTCATAAACATATTTCGTCATAAATGCAGTTTGTCACAAATGATGGGCGCCTCCTTTTTTTTTAACTGCGTATGGATAAGCAGATTGCTATACATCTATACAACTAACTCGTAATTCTATTTAATACATTATTAATAAAATCTGGCAATAATGTAAAAATCATATGTAAAATGCCTGTTATTCCTGTGAGTTTAAACTTATTTCTATACTAATAAAATACAAAGAATCCCATACCATTAATCAATTCTAAATCCAACTCTAAATTTTAAAACCATTCCATATTTTAAATCAATATTGTTCCCGTGTCGAATTTAAAAACCTGATTTAGTCAATATTTATCAATATTAAGTTCGATTTAGATTAATTTCAATATTAAAACCTGTTTAAACTTAGAGCTTCAATCAAAACATTATAATATTAATAAATAAGAACACAGATTTTGAAAATATAATCAAAAATCTTATGAGTTATATTACAGTCATTAGAATTACGCGGGCGATAATACCGAATGTATATATATATCAAATAGATTAATGTTAATGTATTTTAATCATAACACTGAAGGCTTGTCAAACTGACAGATACACGTCGACATTCGGTCACTTTAGTCAATTTTTTTTTAAATAATAGTTAAATACAAGTCTTCCATTATTTTTTAAAAATTAATCTAATTAACAAAATTATGGTTTCTTTAAAAACAATATAAAAAGTTATCGCTTTTAGTGACGAGTTGACTATATATATGAGTTGCAATTATGACAAAATATGTGGGTATTTGACGAGCAGCAGTTATCACATTGCGTAAATCTTTCTACAGTGAATTTTATGTGACCAAATGCATATATATTGTAGCGCTACACGCCACGTACAATTTACATTTACTTTATGTACTATGTAAATATATATGAAGAAATATTAATTGATGACCAGAATATGTAATTTTTGTCAACTAATAATGAAAAAGAAAGGCACCAACCATAATCTGTTTTAATAGAACTTAATGTTTAAACAAACAAATAACTCAACCATAGGCGTTATATATATAACGTGTGAGACGAGAAAATGTTTATCTACACTAGTGTCCCTATAATGTATTTGTAAATGAGTGCATGTTACAACTTTGGCATTGATTTGGACATTTATTGACATTGAATATGACATTGAAGTTACAAGAATGGCAATATTCATGTATTTTAATTCCAATTCACGCAATTCACATTCAGAACTTTATTTGGTTTAAATTTGATTTTTTTTTTATTATTTTTTTTACACCACAAAAGTGCCAAATAAGCATACAGGCCGTACCTATAAATGCCTACAACACTAAGGGTGTCACATGCGTGTTACCTACCCTGCAAAAACCTTAATATACATTTTTTTAAGAACCCTATATTGTAGTATCTAGGGAGAACCTTGGCAGGGAGCTCATTCCACAGCCGGAGCGGTCGTGGGAGAAAATACCTTTAAAACTGCACTGTACTCGATAATTTCCGTTCAAACGTGTGAGGATAAATTCTCTGTCGAAGGTGAGCTGTGCGATTATTAAAGGTGGCTGTGGGTAATCAAAGATTAAAACTTCGCCTCCCCAACTTAATTTACATACAAATTTTTATCTAAATCAAATCATTCTCTGACTCTTTTATGAGTCTTAAAAACTGCTAAAAAACGTTCTGTTTCTAATCAAAACTCTAAAAACAAACTTTCATATAATTTTTGTTTTTAATTAATCGCCTAAATGTAAAGTTTCACGTATCTAATTTCTAAACTGACGAAATCCCATACCTACTTGAATCCCTGTTTTGCCTTCTTAGGAGTTGAATTTTCAAAATTATTATTCACTTAAGCTATACAAAGAACTCATCTGCAAAATTTCAAGATTCTACATTCAACGCTTGAGCTATGTATATGGAAAATTTAGTTTATTGTGGTTCATAAAGCAGTAATTTCACGAGACTGTCAAATGTAAAACTGTAAAAGAAATAGTACTTCAGAATCGACTCCAATATCAATAAAACTATTTCGACGTTTCCATTAAGTTCTATTGAAACGGAACGCAGATAGTTATGAGTACTAGCTCCATATTTTTTATGAATGAGCTTCTGAACTCGACCACCGTGGAATGCAGGTGTATTGACTTATTATCTTCGAATTTACATTTTTACTATAAAGTTTGGGAATAAGAGTCCCTTTACGACTTGTAAAGTTTAATTAAATTTTAAAGACTGCAATTTCTTTGATACTAAAATATTCAGGTAGTCCCGTGTTGACGTAAGTAGACATTAAATTAGTGTAGTATAGCTGTAATGTGGGTTTGATGTGTATAATTCTTGGTATAACTATCTATTAAATTGTCGGGGATTGCTGTTTGCTCTGTGTGTCTTACCCTTTTGATTGTGAATAAAATTGTTTCCGTAACGGGATTACGCTGTTTTGTGTCAACCTTGCATTTCCTGTTTATCTTTTTTCTGCGTAAAAAGAAACTCTCAATAATACTAATTAGGGGTGATATAGTGGTATAGCAATATTTATATATTTTTGTTACAATAACGAATATGTTAACCCTTTAGTGCCGACGAGCGCCATCGCACTAGTGCACATTGCAACTAAGTGTCACGAGCGTTATAGCGCTCGTGAAATCAGTCGCTGTTTAGCTTGCTGTAAAAAAAATATTAAAATTAGATAATTTTTGGAGGAGATACAGTTTTTTAGGAGACAAGGGTAAATGACATCAACACGACAAAGATTTCTTTTGCATTTTTAAATAGATATGAGTAAAAATCAATGGCACTAAAAGGGTTTAAAGTCTGTTATACAAAAAATAATAATGGATAAGACTTAACATTTTTTAGGTATTGAAAAATAGATATCAAACCGATATGGGCGATATCGAAATGGGTGATCACATTTTTCTGCCATCAATAACCAAAGAAACTCAGTATATAGATATCGGATCCATATTACCATGTCTATTACTATCGTTGTTTTTTTTAATGGATGATAATAGAATGGTAACCCCGCTGCTGCGGTATCGGTATACGCTGGCGGCACCAGTGAGGGATGATAAGTGGGAATGAAAAAGGCAGGTCAGTTAGCCCATCGTGATGAATACACTTGGAATTCAGCACGATGGTTTCCAGGAGAGATCACGGGGAGGTCGACCTGGTTGGGTATATTGCCAGCAATAGAACCTTTAGTCTACATTACTAACAATTACCAAAACCTCATTTGAGGTAAGTTTGCACTGAGGAGTCCGAAACAGTTGCATAAAACAGCCAAAAATTATGCATTTAACGAATTTTTTTTGATGGGTAAAAATTGTATGGTATGTACCCCGCCTGCGCTAACGGGATACGCTGGCGGAGCACAAATTAAGGGCGATAGATGAGAATGAAAACAAGCCAGTTAGCCCATCATGATGAATTTATCAGGAATTAACCATGATAGTTTCCAGGGAGAACCGCGAGGAGGTCGACCTGGTTGGGTATATTGCTAGCAATGGGATTCTCAGTCTCCATTACTAACAATCCCTTTCCCCCCATTTAACGAGGTTAGTAGAATTTGATGGTATTTGAATAATGAAACACTTGCATTGCATTTAACAAGTTAAAAAAAAAAACAAGACGTTTTTGCATTCATTTATTTAAATAATAAAATTAATCTCCAACATTTACATTTACTTGAATTTTTTCGACTTGAATACATTAAATTTAAATTTACGATGCACAGCGATTTATAGTCTAACATTATGTAAAAACAAATAAATTATATATAGTTAAAAAAATTAAAATAACAACAATATAACATACGTAAGCTTGCTCAATAAGATTGAGGCGTCCTACGGAACCGATGGAATTTGCAGGCGATAAATTAATTCTAAAACAGCAAAGATTTTTATGAGTGATAAACAGACTGATGGTCCACCTGATGGTATGTAGTCACCGTCGATAATTGATTTCATATGCAATGTGACCCACATATGACGCAATTCCTGAGGATTAAGGTGTTATGCCTGTGTAGCCTGTAATTTCACTGTCATGTCCCAACCTTCAAACCGAAACATAGAACAAGCACATTGCTTCACGGCTGGGACAGAGGTACCCATGTCGACAACTTTTGTATACAATACCATGGACACATTTTTTTTTTAAATTACAAATCATTTCTACACGTTTCGTAAACGCGTGGGGACTCATACAATTTTCATAAATACATCTATAGTCATAAAATTATTAATAATAAATTTTGCCTGCAAAATTTTGTTTTTTTTTTTAATTAACGGTCGTATTTACACATACGAGGGGCGGCTGATAAGTTCGCGACTAAAGGTACTTGGCGTTGACTCATCATCGACTGATAGTACTAATTGCATGACTCCTTGTAAGTATAAATAATATCCCATTTTTATATTTTGTTCATTAAAACTCAATTCCTGAAACAATAAACAACATCGTGCCAGAGAAAACTGAAAATTCTCGCAATTTGGAGCACCGCGCTGTAATCCAAAGAAATATACCAAAAAAATGTTTGACAAATGTCACCGGTTCTTCAGGATTATGCACCTTCATATAAAATGGTAGAAAAATGAGCTCGGCTATTTCAACAAGGAAGACAGAGAAGAAGAACCTTGCCTTAGACGCCCAGTAATGGTAGTGACCGAAGAAAACGTTAAAAACTTGAACGAATAGTACTGGCCAATCGAAGATTTAAACTGTGACAGATAGCAGAAGAAATACGGTATAGTAAGAAACAAATTGGAGAGATTTTACATGGACACAATGAACGGACAGTACTACGCTAAATTACTGGGTCAAGCACGTGATTGTATAGAAGAAATGTGACAAGTTAGCGCGCGGAGTGCTGTTTTTGCAAGACGACGCGCCCCTTCACACCGCTCGGTTGTAAGAGATGCCTTAAAAAGTATGGGATACATAGAAATTAACCACCCACCCTATAGTCTAGAACAGGATCCTAGTGACATTTTCTCTTTTAAAAATTTTAAAAAAGAATAATAACAAAAAAGTTTTTTTTTATATAACTTAGAAATACATAGAAATTAACCACCCACCTACAGTCTACACCCGGATCCTAGTGACATTTTCTCTTTTCAAAATTTTAAAAAAGAATTAAATAGACAAAGATTTTTTTTATACAACTTAAAATGGCAAACAAGCTGACGGTCCACCTGATGGAACGTGGTAACTGTCGCCTATAGACATGAGCAGTGCCATGGACATAACAGAGTATACTGCTTTGCCCATGATACCCCCCATGCGTTGCCATTCCTGAGGACTCAGGTGTTATTCCTCTGTAGCCTGTAAATTCACACCATATCCCATCCTTCAAACTGAAACACAGCCATGCAAACACAACTGCTTCACGGTAGAAACACGAATGGGACAGAGGTATCCAAGCAATGGACTTTTGTACAGTCTCCCTCTGGTAATTTCGACTGACAGTAGAAAACATAGTAGTGGAAAATAATTTCGAGGAGAGACCCAAGAATATTTTTACAAAGGCATAAACACTTTGTATTCACGATGTAAAAAAATGTATTTCCCTTGAAGAGGATAATTTTGAAAAATAAAAAATATTTAACTATACTTTTCATTCATTTAGCACCTGCGGTAGCAAACTTATCAGCCTCGTCTCGTATATCATTTTTGTATTTCGTAATTGCGCATAATTCCCATTTTAAATAATATATTCAAAATGGAAAATGTACGTTACAGTCAGAAATGATTTCTTTTATTCACCATAATTAAAAATTACATATTTATAATGTGGTCTTTAAAGTAGTACGCTCTCTTTAGGATTATTGTCATACACAAGAGTGATTACACGAACTGCACGCCCGGCTGCGACTCGGGCTTGGCCGACGGTGCTCCCACCGGGGTGTCGTCTGCAGCCGTCGCAGCCTTCTCCATGTTCCTCAAACTGTTCTCGAATTCCACCGGGTCAACGAACTTCTTCCTCGGGAACGGCGGCGGGCCGAGTATATCTTGCACTTGTTGGAAATTCAGAGTTTCATTTTTCAATAATTCTTCGGCAAGCTGCAACACAAAGTTGGCATTATTAATTCGACTGCTTGGCTTCGTGCCCCTGTCACACGACTTAAAACAGCAAGTTTAGACTGTACATGGTTTTTTATAACAAGTAATTTTAAAATACTTATTTTTTTATTCATTAGTACAAATATGTGTACATGGCGGACTTAATACTAAAAGCATTCTCTCCCAGTCAACCATAGGGAAGTGTCAGAATACTCGAATGCGGTACTACTAATTATTGATATACATACATACTAAAATTACATATATAAACGAATAAATATATATGAATAACAAATATACTTACACATATATGGCATATACTATACTATACACGAATTTGGGAATAATATAAAGCACTTACTGCTCGGATAAAGTAAAACAGTGAGCGTGAACACTTTTTTGAAAGACGGTTTAGTCGGTAGTCTCTTAATGGCATCAGGAAGCGCGTTCCACAGTCGTGAAGAATGTAGGAGAAAAGAGTTTGAAGCGTAACCAGTACGGTGAGAGGGGAAAGATAATTGGAGAGTATTATTGGAACGAAGGTTACGTTCGTGAGTTTCAAAAAGATAAATATCTTGTTATAATCCGTTTTCTTATTATTTTATTTTAAATCTTTTATTTTACATTTTATTTTATTACTGTATCATGCAGCAAGCTGTTGTGGCAATGGCTGGTCACATAGCTCGAAGAACCGACAACCGATGGGAAAGACAGGTTTTTGTGTGGCGACGAAGGGAAGTGATGGTGTCGACAAGTGGCTATAAGATTAATGTGAACAATATTTATTTAGAGACGCCACCCTTGCCTATCTCCGACGATATCTGTCATCTGGGAAGTGGAGAATATTCCAATTAATTATCCAGGGATAGTAAACTGGCAAAAGAAGTGCAGTGAGGAGACGGTGCTCTAAGCTGACGAACCGGGAAGAGTGGTTTAATTGCAACATTACCTCACGATTAAGAGCGGCAGTTCCTATATATTTACTTTATATATTATATTTAATTACTTTACCAGAGGGAGACTGTACAAAAGTCGATTGCTTGGGTACCTCTGTCCCATTCGTGTTTCTACCGTAAAGCAGTTGTGTTTGCATGGCAGTGTTTCGGTTTGAAGGGTGGGATATGGCGTGAATTTACTGGGTACAGAGGAATAACACCTGAGTCCTCAGGAATGGCAACGCATGAGGGATATCATGGGCGAAACAGTATAATCTGTTATGTCCTTGGTACTGCTCATGTCTATATGCGACGGTTACCACTTTCCATCAAGTGGGCCGTCAGCTTGCTTGCCATTCTAAGTTGTATGAAAAAAAAAATATTTATTTTTGAAAAATGTAGATTACATTAAGATTTTTCCTTAACAGTTTACTATAATATTGATAAACTATCGACTTACCGCCTTCAACTTATCCTGGTTCGTTCTTAGGATGTTCTCGGTGCGGTAGTACGCGTCCGCGATTAGCTTCCTCGACTCCAGATCGATCAGGTTCTTGAGGGTCTTGCTGAATGGACTCTTGCCGTGCTCCTTCACGTCCGGAAATGATACCAGCCCTACCGCCTGCGACATGCCGTACACTCGAACCTGGAATATTATTATTGTTTTTATTCTAACTTGTGTCGTGATCAAGTTGATGGGAAGTGGTGGGTATCCTGGTGGAAATCATCGCTAGCAATATACCCTGGGTGTCGTAAGAGGCGACTAAGTCAAGGTAAGAAATAGGCAACAGCGTTCCACATAAAACATGCCCAAAGCCATTTTAAGTTTGTATGCCATTGTATTGTACGCCATTTTGCATAAAAGTTGCATAAAAATATAACGTGATCAATCCTAATTGTTATTGGGAGTAACACCAACCTGAGCGTAGGCGATCTTGGTGACCTTCTCGAGGTCGTTCTGGGCGCCGCTGGTGATGGAATTGAAGGTGATCGCTTCCGCCGCCCGCCCGCCCAGCGCCATGCACATACGATCGAATAACTGCAAACACATTATTTATTTTCTATCAAAACATGTCAAATACATTAAAAAATAATTGGACTTGAATAAAAGAGCGGAAAGCACAATAAAATGTCGGCTTTAAAAAAATCGCTGTGTAGTCCCAGTATAGAATAGGCCACCGCTTCCTTTCCCGTGGGTGTAGTGAGAGGCGACTAAAGAAAAGCGAGGGATGGGCAACAGCGTCCCTCTTAAAACATCACTCCACCAGTTTGGTGGGTTGCCAACCCACCTGCCAAGCGTGGAATTTACTGGCAAAACTCCCCTTTGCCCTCACCTCTTGTCACCTCACCTTTGTGTCACCCTCCCACCGGGAGAGTTTTTTTTTTGTTTTTGTTTAATGGGTGATAATGGAATGCTAACCCCGCCTGCATTATCGGTATACGCTGGCGGGGCACCAGTAAGGGATGATAGGTGAGGATAAAAGGCAGATCAGTTAACTCATCGTAACGAATTCCACTAGAATTAATCACGATAGATTCCAGGGAGAACCGCGTGGAAATCAACTTGATAGGGTGTATTGTTAGTTATGGTGAAATTAGACCCCATTACTAACAATCCCTCCCCCCCCCCTACCAGAGAGGCTCTTAACCCTTAAATACCTGAAGTTTCAAATTTGATACCGGGGTTATAAATCGCATTGGGCGCCTACAATCGATTTTATTTTAATATTTGGCTGTTCACATGTTACAAATTTTTTTTTTTAATAAATAAAATAGATAAAAATATCGTTTTGATTTTTTTTACTATTTTTCCCCATTAGTAAATACAGTAAAAGGTACACATATATATTTTTTAATTAGATTTAAAAAATCAGGATTTTAAGGAGATAAATTGGCATTGCTCTCACCTCCTCCTTAGAATACAGTTTCTGGTCGGACGTGGTGTACTGCGCGAAGCCCAGGGCCATATTGGTGCGTGGCACGATGGTGACCTTGAGCAGGGCGTCCGTATGCTCCAGCAGCCAGCCGACCAGCGCGTGTCCCGACTCGTGGTACGCCACGATCTTCTTCTCCGCCGGTGACATCGCGTGGCTGCGCTTCTCGGTGCCGCCTGGTGAAGGTCACGTGATGATAACGATTTCATTAACGGGTGACGGTGGAATGGTAACTTCGCCTGCGTTGTCGATATATGCAAATGACTAATTTATTTATTTTTTTTGGAAAACGTACAGCTGAATTACAGTCAATACATAATCAAATTTATATCTATGTTAAGCCATGAATCGTTCTGATATTTACGTAATGACACAATTGATCGGTTTAATTAATTGACATTGGTTTAATTTAATGACAGGTAATGATTATATATATATATATGTGTGTGTGTGTGTGTGTGTGTGGATGTATATATATATATATATATAAATCCTTCATAAGAGAGTTGAGTCTGCGCATTGCGGATAGGGGCCTAATCGCCGTTCTGGTTCGTATCTGGCTCAAAGGGAAAAGACTGGAAAAGACCTTTGGGTCGGGTACGGATCATGAATGGGACTGATCATTAATTTTTTTTTGTGATTCTAAGAAGTATATTAGTTTTATATAATAATTATTATTAGATATCATTTTTAGAACTGTTATATAAACATTCACTTGGAGGCAATATAGTAATTTAAAAACTAAACAACTAATTTTATTAAAATAAAAAAAATCCCAAATCGCATTACAACTGCCAGAGTTATGAGGTAAAAATGAAAAAAAAATACACAATCGATTTGAGGACCTCCTTATTTTGGAAGTCGGTTAATAAAGCCAACATGAACTAACCGACGACCCTTTCAACAGCGTACTCGAGGTCGGCCGCCCGTACAATGTTCTGCTTGAACCTGGCAGCATGCAGGGCCGCTTCGTTGCACACGTTCGCTATATCGGCACCACTGAAGCCTGGTGTGAGATACGCCAACCTGGAAACACTTACTGTCTTTACGGGGAACAATATGCATATGAGCGGAGAGGGGAGCACATGGTGGAGGGATGGGCAGCAGCGTCCCTATTAAAACATCTGTAAAAGCCTAACCGCGGTTGCCAATCCACCTGCCAAGCGTGGCAACTAGTGGCAAAACTCCCCTTATGGGAAAGGAGGTTCATCAGTGGACAGTTTACCTTTCTTTGCATAATGGTGGAAATTTCCATCATAACATTGAATGCCCAAAAATTTTATAAAATAACCTATAAACTTTAAGTTGATCGTGTCTGGATACCTTTAATTAATTTAATGTCCGTTGCAGATAAAAAATTATAGCTGTCAAATTTAATTTTTTAACCATTTTTTCTTTAATTTTGAACATGAATTATATCACCTTGATTTATTTCACCAATAAAAAAATCATGCAAAGAAGGATTAACGGCTGAAATAATAATCTTATATATAAAATTCTCATGTCGCGGTGTTTGTTACCAAACTTCTCCGAAACGGCTTTACCGAATTTTATGAAATTTTGCATGCATATTGGGTAGGTCTAAGAATCGGCCAACATCTATTTTTCATACCCCTCAATGATAAGGGTGACCCACCCCTAAATATTTCTTTTTATTTTTTTGACATATTTTTTTATTTTTATTTTATTATGATTTAGCATTGAAAAATACATACAAATTTTAATTTTCACGGTTTTACTATCAACCCCTGTTTTTTAATCGCGATTTTTATATGTCTCAATAGGGTTGCAAAATGGCAATCGAATATAATAATTGTAGTACGATAAATTTTCATGTATAGTTCTCGAAATAATGTATATGGTAAAACAACGTTTGCCGAGTCAGCTAGTTATAATATAATAATGGGGGTAAAGGGATTGTTAGTAATGGAGACTGAGAATTCCATTGCTAGCAATATACCCAACCAGGTCGACCTCCTCACGGTTCTCCCTGAAAACTATCATGGTTAATTCCTGATGAATTCATCATGATGGGCTAACTGGCCTGTTTTCATTCTCATCTATCACCCTTCACTGGTGCTCCGCCAGCGTATCCCGTTAGCGCAGGCGGGGTTACCATAACATTTTCACCCATAAAAAAAAAATTTATAATGGGGAACAATAGATTCTTCGTCATCATCATACCAGCCATTAGCTGTCCACTGCTGAACATAGGCCTACCTCTAACGGGGAGCTTGTGCTAATAATTGCCACGTTTGGCAGGCAAGTTGGCAACCGCAGTTAGAGTTTGATGTTTTAAGAGAGACGCTGCTGCCTATTTCTCGACAGTTAAGTTCCCTTAGTCGCCTCTTACGATACTCACAGGAAAAGGAGTGGTCCATTCCATGCCGGAACCACAATAGATTACATTTGTTCAGTCCTTATTAAACATTATAAAAAAAAAAAATTATAAACCACACTACTCCGTAGTGAAGTGAGACACAGACGGTCTGCTATTGCGGCGATAGACAATAACTTCACTCGCTCTTTATATACTATGTAATTACTTTAGCTAACGGATTAGACCTTGTAAAATTTTATTTTGGTATATATATATATATATATATATATATATATATATATATATATATATATATATATATATATATATATATATATATATATATATTGGCAATGTATAAGATCATGTATTTTAGTATACTCTGTTATGTCCATGGTACTGCTCATATCTATAGGCGACGGTTACCACTTTCCATCAGGTGGGCCGTCAGCTTGTTTGCCATTCTAAGTTGTATAAAAAAAAACTGTTTATTTTTAATTGTTAAATTATGTATAAAACTTTGTTGTAGTTACTTTTTATCAAAATTAATTCCCCCATAATACTAAAAGGGTTGGGACTGTGACCCCTTAATCTATTTAGGAGCCCAGTTATAAAACCACAACTGCTGTACGCTTTTAAAACTACAATATTAATATTGGTTAAGAGACTACAGTTATGTTTTTACGAATAAATCTTATAATAAATTCACATTCGTCTAAATTACAAATAAACGAGTTATTAAAGTGTTCCTGCATCCACAAACGTATAGGGAAAGACGTGAAAAATACGTATACCTTTTGACGTAGTTGTCGGGCAATTTCTCCAGCACAATGCTCTTGAGGTGGCGTTCAAATATCTCCTCGCGCTCTTGCAGCGTCGGTAGGTCAATGAGGATGTGTCTGTCGAAGCGGCCCGGTCGCAGCAGTGCCTGCAAATGCCACACTAGAAAGTTACAGATGTGTACGAACTATCGTAGACGATACGGTTTAATAACTACAGTGAACGCTCTATATAAGCAACTTATTTGAACCAATTACAATAAAAAAAATCTTATTGGGAAATGTTGCTTATAGGTTATATGTTGCTTATATATATCCTTACTTACCGTCTGGAAAATATTTTTACTTTTTCTTTTACTAACTATGAATAAATGAAATATAAAGAACGTTGCTTATAGAGAAGTTGTTTATATAGATCGTATATATATATATATATATATATATATATATATATATATATATTATATAAAGATACATTATGATTGAATAACATGGAATCTATTTTATTTCCAAAAAACCAAGCAAAACCGGGTCAAAGTGTACATCTATAAAATACCTTGTTACTATCCATAAATTACTTAATATAATCATAGTCATCGTCATTTCAGCTTTTAACTGTCCACTGCTGAACATAAGCCCCCCCCCCCCCCCTTGGGGGGTAAATATCTATGAAATATTATATAAATCATATATAATACCTTGTCAAGCACATCAGCCCGATTAGTGGAGGCCAGCACGACGACGCCTTCTCGACTCTTCATGCCGTCCATCTCCACGAGCAGCTGGTTGAGGGTCTGCTCGCCTTCGCCGCCGCCCGGACCGAAGTTCGCCGGCCCCGAGGATCTGGCGCGGCCCACGGCGTCCATCTCGTCTATGTAGATGATGCAGGGCGCCCTCGAGCTTGCTTCTTTGAACAGGTCTCTGCACAGTGGTATACGTGGACACATTTATTGGACGCGTATTATAATCGTCATATTAACTGCCAGGTCGACCTCCACATGGTCCCCTCTGGAAACTATCGTGCTGAATTCCAGATGTATTCATCACGATGGGCTAACTAACCTGCCCTTTCATCATGCTCACTTTTGGCCACAACAGAATATCAGTGTTATGCTCTTTTTAGGGCAAAGCAATAAGCTGAGTCGTGACCATTTTGTGTTACTGTGGCACACGCATGAAGAGAAAAAATTGTTACAAATTTTAAGCATTTTCTTTTTTTTTCTTTTTTTATTTTTTGTACATGTATCTTTTTTTATCTTTTTTTCACTGTGCATGTCTGTCTATGTCTATTGTTGTTTGTGTGCTGTAAGTAATGCAAATAAATTATCTATCTATCTATCTATCTATCATCCTCACCTGTCATCCCTCACTGGTGCCTCGCCAGCGTATACCAATAGGGCAGACGGGGGTACCGTTTAATTATCTATGTCCATTAAAAAAAAATAGACTCCTTTACAAGCATTTTTAAATCGTCATTTTTTTATGAATGCAGGGTTCGAAAAAGGAAAGAGTCCTAAATACCACGGGTACTAAATGCAAAACGGGTGCAAATGCTAAACTTTAATAAACATACAAAGCAACAAACCTAACCCTGGCGGCGCCGAGTCCGCCGATCATCTCGATGAACTCCGACCCGTTCATGGACAGGAAGGGCACATTGGCCTCGGTGGCCACCGCCTTCGCCAGCAGCGTCTTGCCGCAGCCAGGCGGACCCAGCAACAGAGCGCCTTTGGGCACCTGGACAAGTGAAACAAGTATCTTTGGAAAAAAGGTCCTTTAAGACTAGGGGAAAGGGATTATTAGTAATGATGTATCAGATCGACCTCCACGTGGTTTATTTTTATGGGTGAAAATGAAATGGTAACCCCGCCTGCGCTAACGGGATACGCTGGCGGAGCACCACAATTCTTGTTGAATTCATCACGATGGGCTAACTAAACTGCTTCATCCGGGGGAGAAAAGGGATTGTTAGTAATAGGGATTGGCAGCCCCATTGGTTACAATGTACCTTATCAGGTCAACCTCCACGCGGTTCGCCGGTTCAATTTGTCACGATGGGCTAACTGCCTGCTTTTTCAATCTCACCTATCATCCCTTACTGGTACCCGGCCAGTATATACCGATAACCCCGCCTATGCGAGTTATCATTGCATTATCACCTAAATCACACATAAATAAATAAATAATACGACCACGAGCACAGTCGTAAATCAAAACATGTATGTAAGGAGTTTGCCACTCAGGTCTCTCTGTCTACTACACAAAATACTTGGCGTGAAGATAGATACTACACAAGAAAAAGAACCTTACCTTCGCCCCCAATCTCTTATAGTGCTCCGGCCTCTTCAGATAGTCCACAAACTCCATGACCTCCACCTTGGCCTCCCGCAGACCAGCCACGTCCTCGAACTTGACACCCTTGCCTTGTCCAGTCATCGAATCCACTAGTGTGAACTTGGCGCGGCCGAGTTGGCTCTGAAATTTATTATATTTATTAATTATGTGTTTATTTATTTAAACTTAAATGCACATTTATGTAATATAAATAAATGTACATATGGCGGACTTAACACTTATACCATGAGGCGAACAGAAAATATAGAAGGCGGTGCATTTACTACTAAAATATGTATAAATATTGTTACTACACATTATATACATACATACATACATCCATATATATATATAAAAGGTATATCCAAATATATAGATATTGGACCGGTATTGATATTACCGATGAAGTAGTTACTAGCAACAAAATAATGCATATACTCACAAATCCACCAATGTTGATGTTCATCTTCATGGACTTGGTGGAATACAGGAAGGACAGTATTACGGCAGCTATCAGCAGAGTGGTGAAGAACTTGGCGGCCACGCTACCGTTCCGGTCGTAGATCACTCGCACACCTGACAACAACGTGCTTTAGTTAACACTATACAGATGATATATGATATAGAGTCACCATCAAAATAGAGCATGTCGTGAATATATTGAAACTTATCACAGCAACGACATGTTTCGAGAGAGTTTGAATAGATGAATCAAGATTAAACATAGACCAAATCTTAAGTTAGACCTTCAAGAATATAACCGCGAAAACCGCATCCAATTTGCAGCAGTAGTTTCTGCGTGATGTGGAACAAACATTTAGACTGACAGACTAAACTTTAAAATAAATATTTTATCTTCTATTGCTCTTAATTATATCGACGGTTGAAAGGCAAAATTGACTAAGCGACAAAAATACCTAAACTGAGTTTTATATACCATTCGAATCGCCTGATTTTTCTGCGTCGATTGGTCTAGGTTTTAAAATTCTACGATAATTTTTTTGTCGGTTAAGTACTGCGTGATTTTAGCTAAATTTACAATTTTATGTTTACTTAGCGACAAAAAAAATGTCATTTAAAGAATATTTGCTACTTACGCCATTTTAAAAGTTGAAATATGGATTTATTCAATTTTTCATATCTTTGCTATCACTTTTATTTGCAAATAGGAATTTTTACTTGTTATGAAATTTCGTTTTTATCTGTTTTAGTATATTGTACCTATTTAAAAAAAATATAAATAATTTGGTTATGTAATTTTACCTGATGTAATATTTTGTGATATTGCAATTTATGTAATTTAACTAAAAATAAAATTAAAGTAAATTATACCTTAGATATTTTTACGTGTATAAAAATACGTTTGCTTTTAGCGGTATATATTTTTACTGCATATATTTGACTCGTTGAAATGAGTAAAAATGGCGCTTAGATAAATTTACCAGTACGCGAAATACAAATATTATATTTGGCAAATAGAAAATGTGTATGTGTTTATTACCATTGACATTGCAAGCACTATAATAGATAACACGGCATCAACTAAACAGGTGGCATTTCCTGGCACTACTATTGTATCGATTGATCATGATTATAATATCATAACGTTAAATAAATCTGATAACTCTGCATCAAATATATATAATTACGAAAATGAGAAAATCTCACGTTCTTTATCATCAGACCATGATGCACCATCTACATCGACCGGTTTGAGTAAAGAATCCAATGAATTAAATCCAATTAAATATAAAAGAATACCTAAGAAAGATGTTAGTTATATTGATTATATGTCAGATCAAGAAGACTTTTCCATATTTTATGGCAAAAATGATTCAGATAATTGGTCAGAAGGAGAAGAAGTAACCTCTGATGATGATAATAATATACAATGAAATAGAAGAAAAATAATAAGAAGTAAAACGTACTAAAAAAATAACACTAAAACTAACGATGGTAGTCCTGATAACCAAGAACTAGAAATTATCGGAGAATCTGCGTCCAAAGCTAAAAAATTAAACCTAAGAAAAGAACGAACTAAAAATATAAAATCTGGTAAAGAATATATTACAAAGACTGGTATAGTTAAAACAGCGCCTAATCCTTGCTCTGGCAAAAAATCTGGTAATAACTGTGGTTCTCTATCTGAAGTAAGAAGAGGAAATTTTTCAATGATTTTTGGGATCTTGACCAAACACGTCACCGTGATTGGTTAGTATCTATGTCAAAAAAGGATTCATCAAACGTAAATGTACAGACACTGATAAGCGCAACTACACTATTAAATATTTTATTAATAAAGGCGAAGGTAAAAAGTATGTTTATCAACAATTTTTAGTAGCTACTCTGAACATTTCTGATAAAACAATTTACAATATTGTAAAAGATTCTACTTTTGGATGCACGAAAGAAAATATGAGAGGGATATCTGAACCCAGAAATATGTGAAACCCCTTTGGCCACAACAGAATATCAGTGTTTTGCTCTTTTGAGGGCAAAGCAATAAACTGAGTTGTGACCATTTTGTATTGTTATGGCACACGCACAAAAGGAAAAATTGTACTTGGCTTTATGTATTTTTTTAATAATTTCTCTTTTCTCGCTTTTTATAATTTATGTGCTTGTAAGTAACACAAATAAATTATATGTCTATCAAATAGAACTAAAAAAAAAAAAAAAACTACTATAGATGCTGTTAAGAGATTTATCCAAAAATTACCAGCCTTTGTATTATAGTAGAAAACTGGCAGTATACAATATTTGCTTTTATGAAAATGGAACTCGTAATGTTTTCTGTTACTATTGGGATGAAACTAATGGCAAACGAGGATCAAATAAGATTGTATCAATACTGAACAAATATATTAAATCTGTAGATACTGTAGAGGAAATATCAAGCAATTACTTTTATATTGTGACTGTTGTCCCGGTCAAAATCGTAATCGTATTGTATTAGGAATGTTGCATTCAACACTACAGGAGTATGAAAATATTAATACTATTAAAATAAACTTTCTCTTGACTGGTCATACTTATATACCCGTAGATTAAAGACAGAATAGATTAAAGAATACAATTGTTTACGCACCATCTCAATGGTTTACAATTTTTGCATATTAATAATCTAACTGCAAAGATAAGTAAGATTTGTATTTTGACTTTCAAAGAAGGATAAGCAAAACGTTAAATATAAAATATTCGTGAACACTAACGCTTCTTTTGATACTGAAATTCAATTTAAAACCAAGATATCTCTTTTATCTTGTTATCGATCGCAGCTTCCAATATCAAAAGCCAAATATGATGATCTAGTCAAACTTTTCACAAACAATGTTATTCCTAATTGCTTTGTTAGCTTTCCACGTGCAATAAATATCAAAGACACTCTAAACTAATCAGATATTAAAAATTGTGATTTTAATAATTAATTAAAATAGTTTATTAAATTAATTATAATAAAAAACCAGATAACCTATTATAACTCTAACAATCATTTATTCTTTTTAATAGACGAAAATTAAAGACAGGTTTTAGATAAATTATGTGAAAGCAAAATTAGTCTTCTTATATTATGAATATTTTTGTTAATTTTATAGTATTATTTATTATCATTATTACATTATAAATAATTAATAATAATTAGTTTAAAGTCAGTTTGGGATAATTTTAGGAAAATTTATTAACTAAAGGTACATATTCTGCTAACACAACAATCATACAAGAACTTACCTAGACAATTTTACTTGATTTTGTTCAATCTAATATACGTTTTTATATAATTGTACTTGTAAGGAGATTTAGATGAATCAGGATAACGATATTTTTACTCGTTTCTGTTAACTTTTTAGGTAAATTTATATAATTTTACCTGTAACCAAATCTAGGTATTTTTTATCTAACCGACATAAAATACTGTGATGTTCCCCCCTTTTTGCACCCCTTTATATAAAAACTACCCTCTAAACTAACCTAACACATGAAAAACCTACAAAGCCTAAGAAAAGCCTACGAAGGCTTAACCTAATGAAAACCCATGAAAATCTACCCTAAAGAATGGCCTAACACCCTCAATATAACTCCATACCTATATTGCTTTATATATCCCAAACATCCCATGAATCATATAAACCCTTACAATAAACATATAATATTGAACAGATCTTATAGTAGAACACTTGATCATCTGGCCAGATAAATAAATGTGTGATCGTCTAGTAATGTAGGACCCGTTGTGTGTGTAATAACCAAAAGGTTCTTTAATTGGTATATGATAGGAGTTAAATAATGAAGATGATTGATAAATATTTAAGGATTAAGAATAATTAATGAATTATACTCATAATTCATGTAACTAGGAAGTTAGAATATAATATATTAATTTAATTTAATACTAAATTACAGAATAACTGTAATAATAAAAAAAAAATGGGGGAGCGGTCGGGCCCCTCACACGCCCGGACCAGTGGAAGACTTTCCAACTATCTATAACTCTTCCTCCAAAAAGGTAGGGAAGGGTATTACTATTTATTAATGCACTCTGATGGTAATAAGGGAATGAGTATTCTCAGTTCCAAACCAAACATAAGTACATTTACTTCAACATTACAGTGGCTCCACCAGCCCCACGATGCTTCCAGTATAAATTAGTGCTTGCCAGAGGCAAACGGATCGGAACTGAAATCCCAGGATCACTCCGACACGAGAGCTTACTCATGGGCGATGACCCTTTCAGTCCTATATGGCGACATAGAGATCACCCACTAACAGTACGAAACTGTTTCCCAGCGTCACCCTGTTACGAGCTTACTCAATGGGGGTTTCCCTTCGGCTCCACAAGAGATCAGACCAAGAAGCGAGATCACCCAGACACCAGAACCTACTTTGATGGGACATAACCCTTCGGCCCTATAATGTGACATTAGAGATCACCTGTGAAGACAGTCCGATAGAGATGAAGATTTGTGTGATAGGGGATACCTTCCACACCCTGGAATTGGCCAAGCCATATAATGTTGATAATTGCTATATCATAACATAGCATTGTCAATTTAATATTATTTACTTAATACCAAGAATACTCAAGGTTCAAGTTAAATCTGTTGATTAGGCCGAAGCCTAAAAACGAGTAGTCCAACCCATAGGTCGAGAGCTACTAAAAGTAATGAGTGCTACTGAATGAACTATAAGTCCAGTCAATTATATATAATATTATTGTTGATTAACCACATTGTGAATTAACCAATTATTTATTCAGAGAGATATATCTAAAGGAACTATAAGTCCTTTAAAAGACACTGATTAATCACAAGTTAACAACGTCTCGTGAAATAACCAGTTGGGTTTTCTATAAGTTTGAGGACACTAAGTCCAACAAGCTATTATTGTGTTGAGAGTAATAGAGATCTTTTGTAATATTTGTAGAGGTTTGATTAATCACATTGTGAAATAATCAGATTAAATAATTATGTAGCTTTATAGAGAGGTCTATAAGTCCTAATTGGTGGTTGTCATAAGTACTGATAAATTACACATTAAAGTGCCAGGTCAATTATTATATATAGGTATATAGGAAGGACAATAAGTCCTATTTGTGTATGTTGTAGTAGTAGAGGCAATATATTGTATAATTATAATGTGAAAGATATAGATTAAATATATATTTGTATAGAAAGGACAGTAAGTCCCATACAATTATTGTAGCTGTACTATAGTTATACTATATCTACTTCCTTTTAGTGTCTTAGTAAAACCTATTTATTAAGAGGATTTCTCAGATAAACAAGTTTTAAATCATCATGATTAATTCCCTAAGAAATTAGGTCTTTAAATAATTATCATATCATTTAAGTATGTTTTCTTATATAAATAATTCTAATATTTCCCCTACAGTTATTATAAAATAATAGAAAATTATATAAATTTTTCTATAGACTTAGATATAGAATCATAACGTGATTCACCTCCCTTTTGTTTGACGTCTGTCACTTCAATGACGTATTGAATGACGTATTGATGTATCGAATTGAATTTTGATTATCTATCACAACTGTCAACGTAACAAATACTAGCAAGTTTGTTTATTTGTATTTGTTTAATATAATTAAATATAAAGTCATCATATATCAACCGTAATATATGACTTAAATTATCAGTGACATAAATAATCATGGTTTACACCAGAAATAATTAATAGTATCCAGTAATGCTGCAGTTTTATATTCATATCAGTAGCCAAGCTAACTCTCAATTTCAAGAATGAACTGAAGATTAGAAGTTTAACATTCTTATTGCAATTGTACTTGCAATAATATATACATACAGTACTAATTATCAAGAACATTCCTCAAATACATGTGTGATGAACATTTCCCAATATGCTATCTATTTGATTTCTAACCTCTAATGTAAATTTATTAAAGAAGTGAATAATCAGTGTTAGTGTTTGCTTTATTAATATTTAAAGTAACTGTCCTAACTTGATATTAATAGGTTCATATCTCCTTAGATACAGCCCAACATATACAACTAACTCGATAATGAAATTTATAAAATACTAATTTTATATTTTACTACTTGTATATCTCCATTCTATTCCCATAAATATTCAAAATATGTATATTAAATATAAATCCAATAAAGATTCACTAATATTAACCCTGTCTGAACTTGTCTAGTCAATATAGAATGAACAAACAACACACATACAAATTTTATCGCCATGACAACTTTCTTCCTAAATATGAGTAAAATACATAACTCATACTTGTCATTCAGTACTAATTTAATACTGTACATGAGGTACAGTTACCTAGTTAATAGTAATTATAGTCAGAGAATCCTTTGATAATTTTATTACCACTAGGAATTAAATCCACACCTATAATATCAGCATAATTAAATATTATTAGAAACCAGTAATACATACAGAATTGTTATTATCAGCTTGCTTACTACAATAAAATCAATATTAAAGTTTATAATAAATCAAGACAAAATATCTATTTACACAATACAGGCTTGTTTACCATAAACACCCCACAGTCACATGAATTTATCTACTAACACAATAATGTATTAAAAGTATTACATCCACATAAAATCACTTACAACAGTTAAGCTGTCTCTTTGTACATCTGGTGTAAAACAAATCCCCACATGTAGTCATGGATAATCAAATATAGACTAAGAATCATTAGTCTGGTCGACCGAGTAATGGTATGAAAACACTTCACCATGAAGCGTTAAGTATGAATAGATATTCTAAACCAACACTGTAGTAGTGTAATAAATACAAATATTTCATCATCATCATCGTCCCAACCATCACCAACCCACGACTGAACACAGGCAACCTCCACCGACTGACATAAGGAACGGCCCCACAATACACATAAAACAGTCACTCCAAACAATGAAGGTAGCCCACACCGCATTTGCATTTACAGAGTCGTCACTCAATAACCCCTCTCTCTCATCAATGGTTGTTTCCCTAGCAATGAGACAAGACCATAGTCACTTTAGTCTATTATCCTCAATAAATAAATACTTTATAATAACTAGATATGAAACTAGTTAATATTATAATAGGTTAATAGCTGATTTAATAAGTATTTTCCAAAACTGGACAATTAGAACATTGAATCAAATTGATGAAGTTCTATCAAGCGACCATATAATTGGATTTTTTATATGAGTAGAATAACGTAAGTACGTAAATTATATTGATGTAAACTTTGTTCAAATGTGATTGCATTTAACGATATACGCATTACCTAAAGGTATATGGACTCGACTAAATACGTATTTTAATAGTTGTTGGGAAATATTAAGTATAGACTTTGCCTGCGATCACAGTCAAAAATCTAACTACGTAGTAATAAATGGAACAAGCTCACCGGATTCTCCAGTCTTCTATTGATTAATTTCACACACTTAATCGATAGTGATACACTAAGATCTCAAACCCCTTCATCGATCCAGTCCCTCCTAGATGTATATCCCAGTTATTTTTTTATTTTATTGCGCAATCCCTAAAACACGACTCCCGCGCCATTTGCCGTCCTCTCTTTTTTTTTCTTTCTTTTTCTTTCATTGCGCAATTCCTAAAAAGCGACTCCCGCGCGCCCGCCGATCTGCCGTCTCTCTTTTTTTCTTTATTTCTTTCTATTCTTTCTCTAATAACGTCATAGATTATGTCACCGAAGGGTAGATATTTCAATAATCAGATTTAGCCTATTATTCGAACTGTACTTTTCTTCAAATTCAATTTAATTATATGTTAACGTATTTTGGTATTTTCTATTAATTTTATTATCGAATTTATAAAACTTTAAAGGCTCTCATAAACCTTATTAAACTGTGTTGTATGCATCCTTTTTACACTTGATGATAAAAGGTAAACTATAATTTGATTATATATAAAATATAATATATTTTTGTTTAATTTATTTAATTTTCTTGTGACATCTACTACACTTTGGAAACACATCAAAAGGAGTTTCCCTTCTGTGTCAATATTTCATATATGGTAACGTCTTCTCTGTACGCTATTGTGAACCTTGACTTTAAAGTTTGTTTATATTAAATAGCTCAGCTTTCGCAGCGGTCACCCATAGGAACCCCTGTTTCTTTTCTATGTACTTATGGTATTAAACCTATTGTACTATAGGCGAACCGTCACAATACTTCAAATTTTAGTCTGGGATAACTTTCTTTGATATCAAAAAATAACAAAAAATATATGCTTTCCGTAACTGTTAAAATTATTTCGATACGTCAATCAGGTAAATAGTTATGATTTTTTTTTCAAAAATTTCAACTTTAAACCGCTCTCCTGTAAAGTTTATTAAATGTCGCTTAGTTAAGGTTGCCTTTCAACCGTCGATATGTATAATTTCTCAAATATATCCTACTTACATACAATGTGCGTGCGTGCTTTCTTGCGTGTGTGTGTGTGTGTGTGTGTGTGTGTGTGTGTGTGTGTGTGTGTGTGTGTGTGTGTGTGTGTGTGTGTGTGTGTGTGTGTGTGTGTGTGTGTGTGTGTGTGTGTGTGTGTGTGTGTGTGTGTGTGTGTGTGTGTGTGTGTGTGTGTGTGTGTGTGTGTGTGCGTGCGCGTGCGTGCGTGCGTGCGTGTGTGTGTGTGTGTGTGTGTGTGTGTGTGTGTGTGTGTGTGTGTGTGTGTGTGTGTGTATGTGTGTAAAATATAGGCACAAACGAAAACTTCTTTTCTTTTTATTTAGTATATCGTTTGAGAAACAATTCTTGTAAGAAGCAACTACAGTGGTACCTTGCACTTTGGTTGTATTTTGTTAAGAGAGGGACTGGCTGAAAACCAGTGCTGTGCAGCCATTCACATTACGCTGGGACATTCACAGCATCGACTGAGCCGGTTCCTTTTCCTAGTATGGGATACTTCTTGTATGTGTATTTTCTATTGTGATTGTGTGTTTACTGGCATTAAATGACAGTAGAAAAAAAAACTGTATAACCAATTCTGTCTCATCATACCTTCTTTAACACCTAAATTTTTCTCAGTTTCCCGTAATTTCTCTTCAAAGCGATGTATATCACCAACATTCATGTGATAAACTCGATGTGTGGCCTGAAACAATAAAATTACTAATTCATATATAATTTTAAATATTATAATATAATATACATCCATGTGGCCCCAGCATAGAATAGACCACTTCTTCTCTTCCTGTAAGTGTCGAAAGAGGCTACTAAGAGAACTTTATGGTAGAGAGATGGGTGCTGCCCATACCTCTTAAGCATCTCTCAGCTCTCAAAATAACTCTAACAGAAAAGTCTAACCGCGGTTGCCAACCCGCCTGCCAAGCGTGGCAACTATTAGCAAAATTCTCATTATGGGGAAGGCTTACGTTCAGCAGCAGACACTTAATGACTGAAGTAATAATTATTATTATATATATATATATATATATGCTACAATATTTTGTTTATTTAATATTTAGTTTTTTACAGTGAATATAAATAACTTTATTATATATGTGGCAGTCAATTATAAATACTCGTTTTTTATATGTATTTAATTTTTTTAATTCGATTATATTTCGGTTTTTTATTATCGAAAATGGAGTGATAATTCCGCCTGCGATATAGATTTACACTGACGGAGTAGCAGTGAGAAAGAATGATTTCATAAAACTCCTCACTGTCCTCCTCAAAGATTGCGGGATGAATTGACTGGACGAGATCGGTACTGACACGTAATACAATTTACGATACCAGATAAATATTAATTTACATAGTAAATAATAAACAATTACTTTTGTTAAGGTAGTAATGGTGGAGTGACACAGGAACCCAGCATGTGTAGTGCTAAATTAGCAATTATTAAACCTCAAACTATTTTCTTGCTGTACTTTATGCACTAACATAAACATGACTCTATGACTAAATAGCAATCTATTCCAGGCAAATTTAGAGATCATATAAATATAGTGGTTTAAACAGTACAACCAAAATATATTACTTAAATAAAATAAAGTAAATATTGTTGGCATCTTAGCCAAATATTTTTCATTAAAAATGTTTTATATTATTCTTTATTTTGTCATTGTTAATTTAACCAAATAAACAAATTAAAATACCTTAAAAAAGTCCAATTAATAACAATCCAAAAGATCTGTCAATAAATCTAAAGATATACTAACTTGATTTAAAAAAAAAACTCCTGAAATATTAACTGCAACATATTTGACTTACCCGTTTCCCTTTAACCACAGCACCTTCATGCAATATGATGGTGACCACTTCCATGTCAGGCCTTACAATCAGCTCCTCCACTTCCCCTTTGGAGAGCATCGAGTATACAAACTCATTCCAAGAGACATAGCGTATAAGCTGTAACAAACACACAATAAGAAACAACATAGTTATTGTTATTTTTATTCGATCACTATCTGTCTACCTTTATCCCAATTATTTATTTGGTGTCTGCATAATATGTTTCATCTTCCATTCATTTCTATTTGCAGTGATGTCCACAGTCACTCCCATTCTGAACATATCATCGTTCACAAAGTCCATCCATGTCTTTTTAGATTTTTCTCTGCTTTTACAGCAGTTCTATTCTGTTTTCCTTTTTTGTTTTTAATTTTAAATTAATTTTCTTTGCAATATCAGTAGTGCATCTATTATATTCAATATGACTTATTAAGAGAGATTTATTTTTCTAGCTTACACAATTCGATGTATTGTGAAGAACTGGTGTCTGTAGTAGGATAAACCTGTATTACAGATCACCAAGTACTCATCCCACAGTGGTGGCACTATTACACTTCACCAGGGTAAAATGGGGAACAAAGTATAGATGGCACTATAGAAGCAAAGGCAAAGTAATTCTAAATATATGTAATTTTGAATTACGATTGGTTTCCACATAAAACCAGATTTCAGTTGTGACAAAAGCAGTTATTTTTGATTTCAAAACTAAACTACCAAACCGATTTTTATAAAATTTCTATTCCATACATATTTACCAACCAGTAAATTTGTCCCACAGATAAAAAAGAATTTTTCAAATATATAAATTATATAACTGATAGAAAATATGTGGCTACAAATATAAAAAAAAAAAATAACAAAGGAAATGAGAACTTCTTCTTTTGAAAATGGTTTGATAATTAAATAAATTCTAGTTACACGTTAATTGGAATGTTGCCTCATGGCAGTGTACTGATATTAGGGTGTAAAAGTGCGTTTAATTCAGTGTCAACCCACTATAGATAGTGTATTACTGTGTAGTACTAGTGATAGGGTATTGTGGCCAGTAATGTTTTAATTTATTATTGTTCTAACTTATAACTGGAGTGTTTAAACTAATGTATACTGACCTATATGGATGAAACTTAAATGGCTTTTCCATAAACAGTGCTACATTCATCTTATGTTTATTTTTTGCTTTTATTGTAATTTAAAATAAATTAATGATGTTATTATATAATCGTGTAATTTTAATGTTGTTTTGAGACTAGTAGTCTTGTCATATTATTATGTATAATTTATATTTTTTTCCAATGAAAGAGAGTATATCTAATGAATGATACTATTAAGTGAAGAGTATGTTCAGTGTATGTGTAAATAAATAAATATACAGTTATTATTATTTTTTAAATTTTACAAAAATTCTCATCACCCCTCTTAAGGAGAGGAAATGGCAACTAACCCCCGGCAGAAGCGCAGTCGGCCGGGGTTCAGGGCCTCAGGGAGAGAAACCGGCGTACAATGCGGGCAGAATCTAAGAGCACCGCTTTCTGCATCTTTCCCGGAAGTGAACCGCCTCGGAATCCCAACCGTCTGAGATGTTGTTCCAGACTGGTTGGGATAAGACCGTTCACTGACATAACGATTGGAATGATTTCAGTAGATGTCACCCCCCACATTTCGGTCACGGTTATTATTGTTATTCTATCAAATATTATCCAGCCACTTACCTCATTCTGTGTATTGTCTCCAGGAACTAAAAGTGTACTTGCAATCACCAGAATGCACGTTGTGAACATCCAAAACGCTACTTTCATCATCAATGAAGGAAGGTTATTGTCTACATCTTTCTTCTTTTTATCCTTGTTATCCTAAAAATAATTATTAAGTTCTCTATAATATTGTATGTGGCTTAAGGTGCAACTTGTGGATAAATAAAAAAAACCTGTAGATATAAACAAGACTAGAAATACATAACATACATTGCAATTTTCATATCATCTCTTATACAATGCAAATCCTGATGGCTAAGATATTGTATCTGAAATGTTTTTGAAAAAAAACATAAGCTTGTCAATGAATAGTTTATGATGACCTACAAATACATTATCCGAACATTAGCTATCTGAATATTTGATTATCCCGACTTATTCTGCACAACTCCAATTACAGATTTAGAAATAGTATTATGTATTAATTGAGTAAATAGATATTATGTAATCCATTATCTTTTTAGCTCGTAATTTTTTTTTTATATCCTATTGTCTAAATGACCATTTAAAACACTAATAAGAAAATATTAAAATTTATTTATATATTGTTTAACTTTGAAATATACATTTTAGTACAATATTGTTTTATTAATGGATGCTAATGAAAAGGTAACTTCGGCTGTACTAACAGAGGATGAAAAGTCAGGTAAGTTAGCCCATCTAGAATTCAGCATGATGGTTTCCGGGGGGGGCTGTGTGGAGGTTAATTCGACAGGATATATTACTAGCAATGGTTCTGGTAGTTTGCATTACTAACAAACCTTCCCACCCCGCCATATTGTTTCATTGTCCCCACCCTAACTTTCTCGATACAGGGGGTCTACCATGAAATTAATTTCCGAATTTTCAGACTCAATATCGTGTTTTTGTTCATACAGAATTCGAGCCAGTAAATGGAGCTTAACATTTCATTCATCATAAATCCTATCCTAATTACTCAAAGGAACGATATTTTTTAACATTTTTAATAATTTCAAACGAAATGTATTATGTAATTTTAACATCAAATTTCTGTTTCGTTTGTCCCCGAAATTTCAGAAATCATTTCATGGTAGGCCTACAGGATATTGTTATTATAATTCTACCCTTTAAACAGAAACACAGAGATGCAAGCAAAACTCCTTGACAGCAGTAACATGAGCGGGATAGAGCTATCTTTGCAGACATATTTTGTAAAAATAAGTCTTGTTAACACAATATTAATATTATACCTTATCTTTATCTTCATTTTGGTTAAAACTAGGTGAGGTTGTGTGCAATGTGCGCATTCCTAATTTATTAGTGAACAAATCCAGTCCAGGCAAATTGGATCGCTTCAACAATGCGCATGCTGCTTTATACTCTGCATTAAAGTGGCGTAGTTGCTGTAACAAGAAATCCAATTTTAAGGTCAGTACAAACATCATCATGGCCATATGTAAGCCAGCATAGAATAGGTCACCCCTTCCCTTCACATGGATGTTGTAAGAGACGACAAAGGGTGGGCAAGGGATAGAAAACAGTATCTCTTTTAAAACATCTCTAAAAGCCTAATTGCGGTTGCCAACTCGCCTGCCAAGCGTGGCAACTATTGGCAAAACATCCCTTATGGGAAAGGCTTATATCCAGCAGTGGACATTTAATGGAAAAAAATAATAACAAACAACTTGCAGCACATCCAAGTAGTATTCAAATATAAAAAAACATTTATAAATTTATTTACCAATAGTTACAGTCCACAGATAAGTTTTTTGAGAATTATTACCAATAATGTAATATATAGTTTAAATACGTAAAAAAAATTATAAACACCATGTTATGCAACTTACCGGATTTTTTGACTTGTTCGTTACATTATGTAGTACTGAAAAAGATCTACACAATTTTAACAACTTATGATTACAAAATTTGCCTAATTGTTTCTCATTATAACAACTTTTTAGATCAAAATGCAATTTTGATTTAATTTTAGACGCCGACAATGTCGGCAATCTCTTAATAGTTAACATTGTGAATTTCCTATCGCGTAATATGTATAATTAAACGAATTATAATAAAGTAACTTCTCTTATTTATAAGAATTATTTTCAAAATAAATATTTTAGGTTATTTTCTATCGCTACTATTAATTTTTTTTTTTTTTAGTACGTTTGTTCCGTTTGGAACAGGCTAAGGTCGGAGACCATGCTGCCTAGTCTTCAAAAAGATAAATTGTCTGGAATTTTATTTTTCTAATGTCGCTTCAATTATTGTCATAATCTTCAATATTTCATTTGTCAAATCCGGTAAGTACATTTTCATAAATATCTTTTCTTGAGTTTTCTTAAACCAGTGGATTTATCAAATTAAAAATAAATAATTATAAAAAATCATTGTCTTGCAATTCAATAAAAGTATTCTTATAGCTCCTTGAATGTTGTAGTAATATAAGTGAAAATAGCTTTGAAACAAGAAGGAAATCTTAAGAGAAGCGGGATTGAGTGCGGGATATTTTCGGGTTTTTTGAAGATAATCCTAAGTTCGTCAAACATAATGTGTCTTTGAATGACAAATTCAGAGCAATCAAAAAAAAGGTGATGTAGAGATTGGGCTGTATTTGAGTTACACCATGTGCATGATGGGGAAGCGATCATGCCCATTCGGTGCAGGTGTTCGTTGAAATGTCCGTGGCCGATTCGTAATCTACAAATATTGGTGTAAAATTTTCTGTTTGTGTCCTTTCCTTTGCAGAACCACGGTTTTCCAATACGCCAATTAATTTTGCGGTACCATTTGCCTTTAGTCTGTAATATTTGAGTCCAATGCTCCTCCCATTTAGTTGTAACGATTTTATGTATTCCAATACTACAATCTGAATAACAAAGGGGTAAATCTTGAACACGAGCAGCACTTGAATTAATAATTTTAGCCAAAGTGTCTACTTGTTCATTCCCAAACACTCCAATATGTGAAGGGGTCCAGATGAAGATAATATCTTTTCCATATATAGTACAGAGATGATAATATTTATTACGAATTTCTTGAATTAAGTAGTTTGATGATGAAATGAATGTGTTATTTTTTAATGCCATAAGAACACTCATACTATCTGTAATTATAATCCATTTCGAATATAGTACCTGTTTTTCTATGTATTCTAATGCTAAAAATATAGCTTTTGCTTCTGCTGTGTAAATACTAGCCAAAGTTGAAATTTTATAACCGTGACCAAATCTATTTGACAAATCGTAAAAAGCCACTGAAGTGCTAAGTGCATTTTTGGAACCATCTGTATATATCTGCCTGTAGTCAATAAATTCTGATAAAGTCTCATACATATCGTGCTTTTCTTTTATGTCTTTACGTATAACAATTTTGATCTTACAGAACTTACTCTCATAAAGGCCATTATAACAAGGAAGTATCTTACTACTATAGATGTTATATTCATCTCGTAAATTCAAATCATTGACAATAGTTTTATTCAAAAACATAGAAATGGGGCAATTTAATAATTTGAGTATGAGTGGGTTATTGGAAACTGAAAAAACTTTGAAGAGAAATTTGAGTTTTAGGTATTCGAAACGAAGAAGGATAGGAGGCAAATTACATTCTACTTGCATTGAGATAATTGGAGAAGTATACATAGCACCTAAAATAAGTCTTAAATTCATATTTTGAATTTTTTCGAGTTTTTCTACTAATTTATGTTCTGAGGCATAACAAAAGAAAGCGTAATCAAAATTACTTCTAACAAGAGATTTGTAAAGTAAAAGGATAATTTTAGGATCAGTTCCCCAGTTACGACCAATTACAGATCTTATTATATTAGTGGCTCTTAAAGCACGATCTACTAAGCAATCAACGTATAGATCCCATTTTAAATTTTGATGAAAAATTACCCCCAGAAATTTAACGCTACAGTCTGTTGGAAGAGTTTGATTATTATATATAATATTCATTAATGGAACATATTTATGAACTTGATGAAAAACAACTACTTTACTTTTGGTTAAACTAATATCGAGGGAAAGAAGAGAAAAATATTTCTCAAGTCTTTTTAATGACTCATTTAACACTAATTGCATATCAATAATATTCTTTCCTTTTATATAAATTAATAAATCATCGGCAAATTGCAAGTTGTTCACACTGTTTCCTAAAATTGAATTAAGTTTATAGATATATAAAATATATAGTAGCGGGCTTAGAATACCACCTTGACATACTCCTTTAGAGCTTAACCTAGGTCCTATTAATTTACTATTTACTTTAACATACACTTCTCTATTACTAAGAAAATTATAAATCCATTCGATAAGTTTCATTGGAAGAAATGAGGATAAAATCGAAGATAGAACTGTTAAATTTACATTGTTAAAAGCTCCTACGACATCTAAAAAAACAGATAGAACATATTCATCGTTATTCAAAGCAGTACTAAGGTCGACATAGAAGTTCGCTAAACTTTCGCGCGCTGAATATCCACGGCGAAAACCAAATTGATTCGATGGTAATATACTATTACTTTCAATAAAGAACTCTAAACGCTGTTTAATTAATTGTTCGAATAATTTGCCTGCACAGGACGTCAATGTTATAGGTCTATAGGAGTCGAAATTTGTAGGATCTTTACCGGGTTTAATTACTGGAATCAAACAATCCATTTTCCATTCTGGTGGGATAATACAGTCCTTCCATAAATCGTTAAAAATTTGTAAGAGTTTAGTAAGGTTTATTTTATTCAGCAATCGAAACATATTGTATGTTAAGCGATCAAGGCCACTAGCTGTATCTTTTCTAGATTTTACTGCACTGGATATTTCATCAATTGAGAATGGGTCAGTGAGAAATTTTGGGCATGAATTAACAGAATTAAACTGTTTATCATCAAAAGGTGAGTGTACAAAATCAGGAGTATATTTGCGTAAAAAATCATTGACCCATGATATATCTTTAAAATGATTTTGACGATGTTTTGAATTTAGTTTTCTCATATTTTGCCAAACAGTGGAAATTGGTGTTAATCTATTAAATTTGGAACAAAATTCCTGCCACCCCTGTTGTCTTACTTGCTTAATTACTAACTTTTTAACAGCTTGAACTCTTTTAAAATTTATGTAATTATCGAGAGTTGGATTTTGTTTAAACCTAAGGTAAGCCGCTTTACTATCATTGACAGCTGTCGCACACCTGTTATTCCACCAAGGTACTGCAATATGTTTGTGCCTCTTTGAAGTATTTGCACCGCTATTTGATAAGTTCCTACGTGGAACGGAACGTTCCACAGCTGTCAAAATAATTTTACAGAACCTATTGTAATTGTTTAAGGGTTCATTGACATCATACTCGAAATCCAAAAGTAATTGATTAACAGTTTCAGAATAAAGATCCCAATTAACGAGACGTAGGTTTATACGATTTAACAAAAGTTTATTAACTTCATCTATAGGAGCATGTTGTTCACCTGACGGAGTTGATGAAGAGTTCTTTGTGTTTATTTTAGTAAAAGTCGGCAGGTGATAACTTCCTAACGGATCATCATGAACCGACCACTCGCATTTTAATGATATGGATGGGGATACCATAGTTAAATCAAGGCCATTGGGTCTCCAAATATGAGAGCCAACAGTAGTAACTTGCTTATCATTTAATAGTACCAAATTACATTCATCTAAACAATCAAGAATGTCTTTACCTCTTGTATTAGTGGAGGTACAACCCCACATAGTATGATGTGCATTTAAATCTCCAGATATGATAGTGGGTTTAGGAAGAGACTCCAAAAAGAACTTAAATTTGGCTTTAGTAAAACTAGGTGTACTATTGGTAGGACAGTAAATACTGGCAACTGAATACCAAGAATTATTAACTTCAATACTAATAGCTATAGTTTGCAAAGAATTGTCGAAAAAAGAGTGAAGTTTTTTATATCTAATACTATTATGTATAATAATCGCTACTCCATTGTGGTTATTACCACAATCATTTCGTTCTATACAATAATCTTTAATTTTTAATTTGTAATGTGGTTTTAGCCAAGTTTCTGAGATGAGAGCAATGTGAATATGATGTTCATTTAAAAATTGTGTAAAAATATGTCGATTGCTCAGTAGGCTCTGAGCGTTCCACTGTATGATAGTTAATTGGTCTCGATTGAATTTTGTGAAATAGGTCTATTACCAAAAGTATCATATAACACATTCAAAACACTTTTAGTGTTAATAGATGTGTTCTTTGTGTTATGTAGTGAAATAAGTTTGATTATGCTTTCTATTAAAAGTGATAAACTCTTGTTATCAGAATTTAGAATTGAAATTAGGTCTACATTTTTTTTAGGTTTGTTACCCAGTTTAGGAAATATTTCAGTGCTAAGTATATCTCCAAAAGAAGCAGGTCTGAATTTAGATCTATTTTCAGCAATTTTCTTTTGTTTAACAGGGCATTGCGGTGATACACTTGTGTGATTTCCATTGCAGTGTACACAAATAGCGTTTTCCATTCCAGTTGTACAAGTTTTATAATTATGCTCACCTTTGCAGATGCTGCAACGCTCAGAATTCTTACAGAATTTAGCTAAATGTCCATACCTCAAGCACCGGTAGCATTGTTTAACTGGTGGTATATATGGAGTGACATTGTGGCGCCAACCTCCAATATCCAGATATTCAGGTAATACAGATGCAGCAAAAGTAATTGTCACGGTTAGAGTTGGCTGTAACACATATCCATGAGTCAAGGTATTTTTTCTTAAAATTCTTTTAATAGCAATAATTTTCTTAGAACTCGATATCATAGTATATATTTTTTTATTAGATATATTTGTAGGTACATTTCTAATAACGCCTGTAACTTCTGTTGAAGAAGCAGGAATACTGGCCTTAAAATGGTAGTCATTTAAAAAAGTTTTATTATTTAAAAAAGCATTGGCTAAGTCTGGCTTTTGAAAGTATACTCCGATTTTGAATTTATTTATAGATCTAAGATAAGTTACCCCTTTATTAAATCGTTTTAAACAGGAGGAGAGTGAGAGCAAGTCTCTGGATCCAATGGTTTTCTGACTATCTGAGGATTCTACAAAGACAACAAATTCTGTCCCAGGGGATTCCTCGGGATATCTTCTAATATAATCTGTGACGTAGTAAGGTTTATACTTATCGGCCTTATCAATTTCAGATTCTGAGTCAGTAGAAGTATCTTCCGAATATATATCCTTGTCATTACAAGGTTCATGGTCTACATCACCTGAATCGTCATCTTTTTTTTTCCTTTTTCTACAACTGCGCTTCCCCATGAATGCTAATTATATTACTGTCGCTGAATTTAGTGAAAATATAATATTTTATTCAATAATAAGAATTGATAGAGATAGTTTTAATAAATTAATAAAAAAAATTTAAAAAACCCGCTTGTTCTTATTCGAGTTTCCCGCCTTTTTCCAAAAATTGTATATAGCTACTATTAAGAGAAAATGTCAAGGAGCTGTCAAATGTGTACGAAAACAAATGTCATTTTATCAAAATTTTATACTGTCGTTAACTAAGAATAAGGTATTCCCATATCTTTGACCATAAAATGGGTAAAATGGGTGAATAGGCACAAAATCAACATTCACATTTTAATTTCTAATTCTAATCCCCAATAATAACAATCCCTTCATCCTCTTTTATTGTTAAAGTAGTAATAGATACAGGGAAAGGACTTTTTTCTAATTAGTTACTTATTAATGAAAATAATTCAAATACGAAAATTAGTATATTACTAATTTAGTAGTCGAATTATAAAATTAGTAATTACTAATAAATTGAATAACAAAATCGTTCGGATTCGCGCACCGCTAGTGTAACATTATAGAAAAAAATGCGAAATATTAGCGGTAATCTCCTTAGGCAATTTCAAATATCCTGTTATTTCTTAATATTTTCATTTGATAATATTGATAAAGTTCATTTTCATACAATCTGTTTTTCTATGCTTGTCATATTTAATATTGTTTAATATGCCAAGCATAGAAAAACAGATTATATCTGTTTCATCCTAATGTTTCTTTTTTTATTCATCAAACTATGTTGTATTCCATCCACTGAGCGCCAAGATGACCGAGTCTCTTTACTTATTTATAGAAATCAATCCTTATATAATTAGATAATGTTTTAATAAAAATAACTATTATATTAATCAACTTTATTGTATTTATGCGCATAACACAGTTTACTACAAATCATATCGCCAGTAAGAGTTAAAATTATACTTTTTCAGCTGTCCAAACGTAATGTCATAAGAACAATGACCAAAATGAACTATAAAGTACTTTATAGTCCATTTAGGTTATTGTTCTTTAACAAAAAAATGGAAACTTTTTAATGGGTTTAATAAACCCATACTGATGAATTTGCATTTTTTGGTAGGTAGTTCTTATAACCACCTCATCAGAGCAGCTATGATCTTATTATTGTAGTCACAATAAATTTGCATTGTTATCGAATTTGAATGAGTATAAATAAATATAGTAATTTGATAACAATGCATGCGTCTTAGAAATTGTTTGAAAAAAAATTGATTACAAACAAACCAGTAAGAATGGAAAAGGAAATTACAAATTATTGCACTATATATATATATATATATATATATATATATATATATATAGAAAAGCAATTTTAATAAAATCCTGTAAAAATATATATTATACCCATATACCAATATGAATACAAAGATTATTTATTTCTTAGTGTAACTTTTTGCTGTTTCTTTTTTGCTAAACTCTCTGTTTTTAACTACAGTGAACATTTTTATACAAGTATGAAAAGTTGAAATCATTATATAAGTTTTATTTTCAATATAATTAATAAAAAATCAAAGTCCACTTGACAAAGATTAAATAATGCATTATTTTTAAGCCACTTTCTTCAGCTTTTCTTATTTAACATTTTATTATTTATATATATTTCATTTTATTTATTTATTGTCCGTGGGTTCTGATGCCATAAAAATTACTATTATACATACATCATATCATAGAATGAGTACATCATGAGGTCATCAAATAATAAATGGAGCCAAGATGAAATTGTGTGGTATCCAGCTAATTACTGTTAAGAAAAATATTCTTTACAGCATATGTGGCTGGATATGAACATTAATTATAGTCCCAGTTTTTATTGCTGTGTTCAATAAATTGTCTTTAGATTCCAGTCTCTGTACAGGAATGTTTCTAATTTTTACCCAAGTAGCTCTAGTTCTACATTTTTATCCTCTAATTCTCATATATGTATCAAATTACTGTTACAGTCTGCCTGCAGTTTGTCAATTTGATTTTTTAAACTTTGATAATTTTGTGATAAGAAAGTTGTAGACGTTTGTATATCAATATTTTGCATCTTGATTTTTTCCACAGTTTCAAAAATCTTTACCATATTTTCATTCTGTTGGTCTTTAAAATCTGAGATTATACTTTTTATTTCTGACATAAAAGCTAATAAATCATTGTCTAGATCTGATCTTGAGTCCGAACATTTACCTTCGGCATGTGACGTAATACACTGTAATTCATTATCGGAATTATTTGTCTGTCTATCAACTGTAATATTTGGCTCAGATGAGCTCTGTTCAAGTGTCGGACAACGTAACATAGTTGTTGCTAAAGTTATAGATGATGATTTATTAATAGATGGTTGAAAACTGACTGCATCTCTACTTTCAGTAGGTACTGAAAATCTTCCCAATTGACTCTTGGTATTATCAGTAAAACATATGTCTTTAAAATGCCTTTTGCATAACACTTTATTACTTTTATAAAGTCGGGTTAAAGCAGCCAATGATGTCCAGTCTTGTTCTGGCCAACAAAATTGAGCCCAAGCTCTTGCTCTGCAAAATACAGGAGATAATTATATACTTAATTTTAGGTTTTGTAATTAATTAATCCTTAACAACTAAGTTTAAAACAAGTATTTCAATTATTACATTATATGCACCTATGTGATTTTTTTTAAATAGAAGTAAAAACATTACTTTGTCTATTGATTAAAACAACCATGTTAATAAACAAAATGTAAAACTATATAATACTAAAATAAAATTGAAATTTATGTAAAAAATACCTATTAATAATACGTTAAAGTTACAATACCGCATACCGCTTAATATTTGTTTTTCCAAGTTTAGGAAACCGATGTAATGACGTTACTCCATCCTGAAAAGCAGTTGCTCCACATTTAGCACACTTTCTATGGGCATCCGTAGACATGGTTGATAAGAGTATATTACTTCCACTCCGTTTATTTGTTGATGCGAGTAATCACCAATACTATGGTCTAATATCTATCAAAATATTAAGAAACGGATAGTTGTCGTGAATAAAATCTAACATACAATCTGGTCCAATATCCAAAATACAAATTAAAAAATGAGACTAATTTAAACTAAGAAAAATCTTTTAAAAATATGTAGACAAAAAATTTTGTTATTTGACAGGAGGGTGTAGACTTGCCACATGAAAATTGAGCACTGCACCGCAGATAGAGAAACTATTGCACTAAATTCTAAGAATATTCATACATATCTGTCACACCTATCTCCCATTAAGGTAGACAGAAATAATGGAACGCCAAATGCTTCGATTCAAACAAACCTCTTTCGCTTCTTCATACACGCTCGTCGGTTACGGATACTTTTAATTTGGCCCTTCTTCAGCACATCGCTTATTTGGTCAACATACGTCCGTCTAGGGTGGCTCTTCCGACGTCTCCATTCATTCTTGCTCGATAAATCTCTTTCGTGATTCTTCTATCATACATCCTCTCCAAATGGCCAAACCAACGCAACATTCCCTTTTTGATTTTTGTCACAACATCGTCTTTTAGTCCACACTTTTCTCTAATCACACTATTTCTTACTTTATCTTTTAATGTAATACCACACATACTTCTCAAAGCTCTCATCTCTACAGCATTTATCTCACTTTCATGCTTCTTCTGCCATACCCACAATTCGCTTCCATACATGAGTGTCAATGTCAGTACTCCTTGAATTATGGCGAGTTTTGCTCGATACATTTTTACTTAACATAATCGAGAGCAGTGCACCGTTAACACTGTTTCCCGCTTTTACGCTCCTTTCAATATCTCTGTCACATTTTACATCTCTCGTAAACAATGAACCTAAATATAGAAACTCCATGAATATTCTTAATTTATTAAATAATTGCATTGTACTTACACCACAATAATGAGATAATATTTAAATAGTATAACTATGAATATAATAGAATGTTTATTTTTTTTATTATTAGTAAAAATATTTTACAAACAATTATAAATAATAAATTACAATTATATTTGTGCCTCCTTTATAAATTAAATGTATTAATAAAATAGCAATACTAAAAAATCCGCAAGTCATTTTCATTGCCAAAAATGCCTGTAAGGTGAATACCAGACTTTGGAATTGTTCTTATTAAATTAAATTGGATGCTGAGGGCCTACCATGAAATATTTTCCGAAATTTCGGATCCGAACGAAACAAAAATTTTATGCTAAAATTACATGATACGTACCGTTTTAAAATATTAAAAATGCTAAAATATCGTTCCTTTGAACTTTTATGGTAGAATTTATAACAAACGAAATGTTAAGCTCCATTTACAGGGTCGATTTCGTTACGAACAAAAACACGAAATTGAGCACGAAAATTTGGAATTTCATTTCATGGTAGACCCCCTGACCCGTGATTGTGAGCATAGATTACGCCACATAGATATTATCTATATCATTTTGAGTGAAGAGAATTTTCAATACAAATAAATATATATTTCCAATAATTATGTATGATAAGATTTGATGGTCATAATTTATCTTTTACCAATATCCCGATAAAATACGAAAAATATATACCTGTATAGCATGTTGGTCCTTTGCCTGAGAAAGTAATGGTCAAATTTATAATAAATATTTTTTGGAAAATAACGTAGTTCTCTAAGTAGTCTGTGGGAATAATGTATGTATAATATATAAAATGTATACGGTCGTGTAACCCTACCAAATTCAGAGACAACCTATTTTCATACTTTCTACATAAATTGTGTCGAATATAGAAAATCTATACATTAGTCTGCTACTAAGAACAAGGAATTAAATAGAAAGAATGATAAAATTGACAATTCATAGCAGGCTACTCTATAGAAAATGTTATACGGCCGTATAACCGTACCAAATTAGGGGAAAGGGACATCCCACTAGACAATTAATGGAGACTGAGAATTCCATTGCTAGCAATATACCCAACCAGGTTGACCTCCACGCAGTTTCCTCTGGAAACTATCATGGGTAATTCCTGATGAATTTATCATGATGGGCTAACTGGCCTGTTTTCATTCTCATCGATCACCCTTCACTGATGCCCCGCCAGCGTATACCGTTAGCGCAGGCGAGCCTGCTATTCCATTTTCACCCATTAAAAAAAACCCTACCATATTCAGATACAACCTGCTTGCATACTTTCTACATAAACTGTGTTGAATAGTAAAATTAGGTAAAATTTGTCATTGAAGAATAATTGACATATCAAATATTTTCTTTATACTAGCCAGCTGTAAATTGAGAAAAATGATAACTGGTGATGTGTCCTCTTTTTACTAATTATATTTGAATAAGAATAAAGGAGAAACCATACAATTGATAGTTTTTATTTGATCATTCCTTCTATGTAATTCCATGTTCTTAGTTCTTAGGACCAATTTCGTTTGTTTTACTCTATTTCACAGAATACGTTACTACGGTTCTGTCATTTGTATCGCTTTTTTAGGGGGTAGATATTAATAACTAATAATAGTTGGGCTACTTTTATTTGATTTGAATGATAATGCAATGGTGACCCCGCCTGCGCTAACGGTATATGTTGACGAAGCACCAGTGAGAGATAGCTGAGGATGAAAGGGCGGGTCTTTTTTTGATGGGCGAAAATGGAATGGTAGCCCTCCCATTTTTTTTAAATTTAACTTTATTTATTTATTTAACAAAACAGTAATTTTGCTAAAATTCACATTAAAATACTAGATTAAAAAATAGCGCTTCAGAATCGACCCCAGATGAGCATCTTAAAATTATATATCTAGTTCTACCCTCCTAATAGTAACTCAATATCTGTTAAACTTGGTTTAAAGTACCAGTTAACATTATTAGGTACTCGTATAGTCGTGGATTTGATGCCCGCATAACACACACACACACACACACACACACACACACACACGCACACACACACACACACACACACACACACAACAACGATAAGCAAGCTGAAGTGGCAATAGGCTGGTTACATAGTTCAAAGAATCGACAACCGATGGGGAAAAAGTTTCTTGAGTGACGACCGCGTACGGGTTGTGTGATGATGACAAGAAGGGATGGTCATCTGAAAAATATATCGATATTTTTTTGATATGATATATCGAATTGTCGTATCGATATTATGCGATAAAAAAAAATTATATAAAGATCCCAATATTTCTTATTTAACCCTTGCATAAATAAAATTTTATTGACTTGTTTACCTTGCAGTTGATTTTTCTGTTATGTTAAGACCTGCGCGGCCTTTGAAAAATGCCTTTCAGATGGAACAGAGCTATACCTTGTAATCCATCTATACTTCCAAAGGATTTTCATTAAATCTACTAACTGGAGCCCTTAAATAAAGCGTTATCTCATCTGAAAGGCTTTCGTCAGTTTTATTGGTTTTCCAATTCCACTGAACTATTTTGTGATGATCACTCCAGAGACTAAACTCTGTCTGAGAGTGTCTGCTATTTCACGACGATATTCTGTAAGAGGGTGGCACTTCGCTGGTCAAGCGGCCCTATTTGTGCAGCTGCCACAAAGCAACTACCACTCCAAATCCTAATGAAAGCCTACCATAAAGTAATACCAAATCAGGTCAAGTATTCGAAATTATTTTTTGTATTGAATAAAATACATCGATTTTTTATATCGATATTTAGTTATTTGATAATATCAAATCAATTAGCGATATATCAAAAGCTAATATCGATATTTTTTTGACGTCGATATATGTCGAACACCCCTAGACAAGACACAATTGCATAATATTAGTGGATTTAAAATAAAATAAGATTTTCATTTACTAGACAAATGTCTAATACCCACAGTCTACTTAGTTTAAGTCTAGATGACGCTGTATATCTAGTTGTATTTATTCATCATCGTCATCATTTCAGCCATTATCTAGCTATCTAGCTGCTATATTTATTATCTAGCTGGACATAACCCCCTCCCCCCCATAGACTGCCATTAAGAACGGTCCTGAGCTACCTGCATCCACTGACTCCCTGCAACCCATTTCAGGTCGTCACTTCATCTAGTGGGGGGTCGTCCTACACTGCGTTTGCCCGTACGTGTTCGCCACTCAAGAATATTTTTTCCCCATCGGTTGTCGGTTCTTCGAGCTACGTGACGAGCCCATTGACACTTCAGCTTGCTCATTCTTCGGGGTATGTCGGTTATTTTGGTATTTATTCGTACTTACCAAATTTTTCAAAAGCTTATTATAAAAAAGGCAAATTGGGGTCGACTCTGAGACGCAATTTCTTTGAACCTATCTCTAAAATTATATTTGATATCATATATTATATTGTTATTGAGACCGATATGTACTAATTTTCTAATAAGTTTAAATCAAGATCATTGTAATTTAAATTTATGATGATAATGGGCACAATACAGACATTTTCATCATCATTTCAGCCATTATCCGTCCACTGTTGGGCATAGACCTTCCCATAACTGCCATAAAGAACGTTCCTGAACCACCTGCATCCAGACTCCCTGCAATGAATTTCAGGTTGTTACTCCATCTAGTGGGGGTCGTCCTACAATCAATTATAATAGTCATCCTACAATAAATTTTGGATATTTTAAGGTAATTGTAATTTTCGTAAGGATCTCTAATTTTTCTAAAAATAATGTAATCTATTTCCCTTATTTATAAAACTAAAACGTGCTACAAATCTATTTTAACTATCAGTGTTCTGTCACTCTTTCAAATTAAGAATTTAGTGCAAAAGACAAAGTATTTAAATAACTAAAAGAGGTTATGTGGGATTTGATGTTTTTTATGAATAAGTACTTTATTTATAAAAAAATTCAAACCATTCATATTCGTTACTCATCGATAATGTCGTTTGGTACAATTGAAATAATTTATAAAATCGGTTAATAGTTTTTAAGTTTATTTATTAAAACAGTACAAAAAATTATTGTTTTTTTATAGGTAACTAGGGATCCGGCCCGGCTTGGCTAGGTAGATAAGTTTTTTAAAAAAAATTGGCTATGTTACTTGCCGGTAATGTAGATTTGTGTTAATTGGTTAACTAATTTTTTAATTTATCCGATACAAACTTGTATTTGTTTAGATTAAATTTAGAAAACACCAAGCACCTCATAAACTTATACCTATTACCTATT